GGCGATGTCATATTTAAAAATGTTGTCAGAATATGATACAAAATAGGATTCCACCACAAGTCGGCTTCACCCTGTTTTCAGCAGTATCCTTGCCCAAACAACGGACAACACAAAACAAGCACTGTGTTTCTTATACCACCGGATCCAGATCACGGCAAATGGGCGACCAACAAGCAATTCAGGCATCATCATAGAGGTTACTAACAACTACCAAAAATCCCATACATGACTTCCAACATTTCGGGACTTACTCTCATTTAAGCTAGACCCTGGGCCTTGTTTAGGGCTGGGATGGGTACTCGGGTCGGGTGGGTCCTGAATAGGCCCCAGGTACTCACAGGACTACCCGGACCTGTGGTTAGTCACATGATATATTGTATATAGACAAAAACTCTATGGCTCAGTGGTTACACTACAAGTCGCGAATGTTCGCATTTCTTTCTGACTATGCCCCCATTACTTTTGACTTGTATATGTTGGAGTAAAGATAAAGCTTCAGTCAACTTCCATGTAAGCATGATCAGATCATTTGATACATGTATCTAAATAGGTTTTGCCTGGGCTGCGGGAAAAAACAATTCCCTAACAGACATTTTGTTCCAAACTCTTGAGACCTACAGTGGGTACCTGGGTAGGGTTGGGTAAAAGGTGGTGGGGTACCCAGGGGAGTAAATTTGGACTCATCCCAGCCCTAGCCTTGTTCCATGTAAGGGAATGACTACAAGAGTTCAATGTTAAATTATGGAGAGTTATGACCACTGTGGTCAAAATGTCTCTGTCTCAGGAAGAGATCATTGTGGCATTGTTCCCTGTGAAGGTGACGTCTGATTGGGCAAACAGTGATGGTGCTTCACATCTGTTTTTGACTGATCAGTAATGACTTCCGCACAGCTGACACCATGCCATTGGACCTGTATGTACAGTGGGCAAAGGGAGATAACACATCTGGACAAACAAGACTACCTGACCTAGCCTGCATTTGGTGATTAACACATAAGAGTAAATACATGTCATGGCTATGCAGAATACCCTAACCTAACTGGAGGTGGGGGGTAGAGGTTGTGGTGGGGTGACGGTGATGGGGTGACGGTGATGGGGTGGAGAGGTGGTGATGGAGTGGGATGGGGTGGAGAGGTGGATGATGGAGTGGGATGGAGGCGGCTGTGGTGATATTTACAGCCATTAAAACCAGTGATCATTAAAAGTACCTGTTCACCTAAAAGTGAAGTAAATGTTTCTTCATGTAAATGTAAACATAACTTCATATGGGAAATTGGTATGTAGTGAGAGTTGTTTTTCACACTGATTTACCAAATGCTTCATGCTATATATCTCTACTTGAGTGTGTGGGTTTTAATGCCGCTTTGAACAGTATTCCAGTTACATTGTGGCGTGTCAACTAATGTGGGAGGAAATACCGAAGTGATGCAGGGCTCAGATGTTGGTTTACCGCAGGTATGGTACTGACAAACCAAGAAACATACCGGTAATTGGGGCGATCCTAAGTTTTTAAGGCGTGCACAAGGGACGCAATTCTGCAAAGTGAATTGCAGCACCTGAGATGTCTCAGCCACCCATGCATCTACTGCCATATCATGAGATGATGAGATGGACCGGATGACCTGAGTTGATGAAGAGAGTGGATGAAGATCAAGCACGGCGACATATCCTCGGAGGTCTTCCAGATGTACACACTGTGTCCTTCTCAACACAATCATATAACAGGAGACATGGAACAATAAAAAATCAAGTCTTCCTAAATTATTTGTAAATGACCATAATGACATATTTGATACAAATATTATTGAGGTCTCCCCTAGGAAATGTTGCTTAAAACATGTTCGGAACACTCAACAACACAGGACAGACATTGGACAATATGTCCTCATAAATCTAACCCACATATTTCATACAATTTCTCAAACACAAACAGTGATATTGAAGAAGACGAACGGCCAAATGATATTTTTATGATTTTATCAACTATTGACAGGACATTCTTCAATATCACTACAAAGTTTAGAACAATATTCAGGATATTTTAACGGACAATGAGTCAATGTCCTAGAAAGAGAACCAGTCTGAACCCGGATATGATCCCAGGAAAATATTGCTTAAAATATCTTCCCAAACCTCAGCCTGAGTTAATGTAAAGCTACTAAACTTGTGTTCTCTTGACTGGCATTGTTATGACATATACAGATACAATTCTCGGTATATATATTACTATACTATTTCTACTTAAAATTGTACAAAACCCATCAGAACTAGAAACAAGACTAAACAAAACGAAACAAAACAAAACATGAGAACAAAACCTGACCTGATTCTGTCATCATATAAAATTCTAAAACTTCATCAGAAACAGTTTTGTGGCAATAGTTTCACATGAAACTTCATATTACAATCATTCACAACACTAATAAATACATAATGCTGGTGTATTATATAAGTACTGGGTAAGGGCCTCACAGGTGACACACAGGCCCTTACTGTGAATAAGTCACACATTCTGTCACTGTCCTTATCATAAGACTTACTGATGCAACATGAACGTAGGGTACAGTAGAGTGATATGCATCGGGATGAACCTGCCAAGGTATACTGTTGGAAATATATGAGGAACAAACGGAAATGGAAATTTATCAATCTTATTAAGATCAGATCATTACTCCAAAACTATACCTCACTACCTGAAGACCTGACAAACCCTCCCTAGAAGGTAGACCTGTGTGAACTTTGATTGCCCAATCTATATGAGACCACACATTTTTTATCTTGTTGTTTTACAGGACCGCCGCCCCTACTGAAAGCAGCCGATCCAAGAAATATATTAAATATAACAACATTTTTATTTTTATTATGTCTTCCGCAAGTAATATAGACCCTCTTGTACAATAAAAAAATTATATATATATCAATTCCATGTCTATATTACTATCAATGATTCAAGAAGCCAGCTGCAGTTTTGACTCCATGGCAGAATGACTTCCATGAAAATGAATAAATAAAATGATTGACATAGCCATATATTTTATTTATACAAAATTTCAGCCTAACATATGCTTCTCTCTTTATAATGTTCATAAGGCCAGACTTTTTGTTTTGGGGGTTTACAGAATTTTAAACTTCAGGTCGGTAGGTCAATAATAAAGAAATCAACTTTCAAATATTTAAAAAAAATTTAAGTGGGTAGGAAAAAAGGTGGAGGTGAGAGGAATAGGGATTCGTCCAAAGTCATAATTTAAATAATCTATTTATATAGACAGTGACAGGAAAATTATTTTTTTAAAACATTTTACATTGTTTAGTTTGGCGAGGGGAGTCTAATTTAAACAGTTCGCAGAAACAACCCCACGATATGACATCTGTGGACGATTCAAGTCCGTATGAGCATGTGAAGTATGAATTCACATTTGTGTTTTGATATTTATTCCGATTTGATATAAACTTCTTGTCACATTTGTAATTATCACAGATTAATCATCATCATTGTAAACATTAGATCATGATCTACTGACCTACGTCAGGTCAAAGACAGTCATGGACAGACAAAACAACATAAAACAATCGATTTGCACAAGCAGATTGAGATGTATCCTCAACATTAATATTGAAGAAATACATGATCAGTTCATCCACCTGAGAACAACTTCTTTCCCGGGAAGAGGTACCTCCATGTTTGTATATCATGTATATATATGGCATTACTGGCAGTCAAACGTGTGATGTATTCCACTCGGGACAGAAAACAGACATTGTGACAATAAACAGTATGTACATTGACACATACGAGGAACAGTCCAGGTTATGATGTAATCATGTACTAGACGGACACATGGCACTTTACAGTAAAACCAGGTTGTGTTCAAATAATTCAGTGCTGGAATGTGACAAAATGGCCGTCTTGGCAGCCATATTGAAAAAGCTATTTATAGCCATTACTAAGTCATTTTGGTTAACAATGTACCAGTAGTGAAATAAGGCATTTGTGTAGTTAGTAGTTAGGGTCACATGTGTTCTTTTTTTTGCAATACTGTAAATCATGAAATTAATACGTCACCAAATTAATACAAGTGCCGACCCCTATCCAATAATAAATCATTAAATTAATGCAAGTAACCCTAACTTTGAAATTAATTCATTAATTAATGACAACACCTTTACTGCAGATTAAGAAAAATAATATCATTTTCCTTACTAGAAGAAAGGAACTGACTTGGCATGTGATCAGACTTCCATGGAAGAAGCAGCAGGGATGCTAAATGTGGCATATTTAAATGAGACAGGTAAGAATAACTGGAAAAATTGTAATGGTTTCAGGCATTGTTACAAGAGTGAGAGACAATCTCATTTAAACAGATCTTAGTTGTAACTATCGCCAAACAAAGATCTGAGGACATCCCATTACGGGTCATGTCAGAACGACCTTTCATCCGACCAATCAAAGCGTCGCTTACCAGATCATGAAAGTGATAGTTGGAATGTGTTTTCTAATCATGCAATCATGAAAACATTAACACGGAGTATTCCGAACGACAGTTACGGCTCGTATGACTGATTCCGTCAAAATTATTGTCAAACTCTCGCTTCTGTGGGATAAACATTTGAACGGAGGAGGCGTTGCACAGTACATGGGAAGCACTGTCATGCAATCGCAACCATATATTAGACATTCCGGAATGATCGTTTGTTCAGTTTTCAGAATTTTAATCGAGAACTGTGTCAACATATTTTTCAAGCGTAGTCTGAAATAGAAGTAGCCAGGTTGAAACGAGTGTCGTAAAGTTCAAGAAAGCTGCTTTCTAATTGGCTGATGTCGACTTCTTGTAAGTTGTTTCAGGGGTTGGTCTAAGTTCGCGAAAGGTTGTTCAGATCTTTGTTTTGCGGCAGCGAGAACTTCGATCTGATTTGAAGGAGATTGGTGAGAACCAGGTTTTGAACGTAAATAAGCAATCTTTTCTAATAAATCAGTACCACCTCTTCTGCTGTTTCTGTACTGGACATTTTCAGTGAGGATGGAACGACTTCCCCTGGCTGTTCACGCAGGGAGCTACTGCATAGATTGTCCTCACAGTTGTCAATACGCAACTAGGAATTTAACATTTACAGGAAATATCTAATCTTGTAAGCAGACATACCAGTCACAAACAATCAGACCGACATGGAAAAGGGCGGTATAAGCAGTACGTACAAAATATTTCTCTTATGAAATATAGACATGTGGGAATAAAGGCACACATCCCAGAGCAACCACTATCACATTAAACTGATGATCTACTTACTATGAGCGCTGTTGTAACCATGGGAAAGTAAATCCAAGACACAGTACACAGACAGCCAAATGTTTGTACCTACTGGACGGAGAGATGTGTAAATATAGCCATGATCTATGAAATGATGCAAATACGTTTTTGTCACTTTAGTGTATGATCTGATGGTGAATGCAAAACATACACTTGCAGTGGTAGAAATCAACTCACGAGGCACTAGTTCCAAAAATGATATGTAAGGAAAGCTATCACACATGTGACAAGGTCTGTTAAATTTTATATCAATATTGATCATCCTCGATTATCCAGGGTGTTTTATCGCCATTCTATAATGATAAAAACCCTGGACCATTTCAAACCATAGCTTCAGTTTGAGTCTGGTTCAAAGGACAAGACACAACACTAAAAGTGATGATGCTTCTAGGTGTCGGGAATATGACTTCGTTTTTCTTGGCATCCAATTTAAGAACTTTTGTGTCATATCAGTGTACAGTGTATTTCCTGACTCTTTCAAAAATTAAAATAAAAAATAAAGGGTACTACACTGAGGCATCCAGAACACCACTTAACAGGGCTGGGAATCAGGTGTACCAAAGTGTGGTTGGCTCCTCAGAATGAACACTGTAATCCATGATTGAAACAAGTGACGTTATCCTCACTACCGTCTCACATACAAATGGGGATGCCTGACGGCAGTCTGACTACCCTCCTCCTATGTTGATACTCAAGAAAACATCTTTTCCAGCAAAAAGTTCATTTCCAAATCTTTTGATTCGACTAAATATATTGAGAACTGGTAACAGGATGAGTCTGCAATTTGATTAATATTAATGCAGATTCATGCAGAACTCTCATTTAGAGAGTCATTTTGATTGGTTGTTGGAAATGTTGTGCCAAGTAAGTGATACATGCTATTGAGATGGTGATGTTACTTCGAATATGAAGCTTCGGTGATGAAAGGGTCTCTTGAATATCTCTTGAGGCCTACAGCGTGTACCCGGATAGGGTTGGGTCATAGGGTTGGGTCATAGGGGGTGGGTACCCGGCTCATAAATTTGGACTCATCCCAGCCCGAATCCCCAGATTCAAATACCAAAGGAGCAAAAATCAAGGACCCCTCTTAATTTGAAACCCTGCCCATATCAACATGTTTGACAGTTAGAAACAAGAAGACCATTGACAGTATCACATGTGACTTGCATACTTCATGAATGCAGAATGCTTGGGTATACTGTTGAATGCATCTATACTACAGAATATCACAACCTGGTTTATATACAGATATATTTGATGTCCTCATGTCTGAACATGTGGATATGTCTTGCATTGCCCTCATCTGTGAAATAATAAGTCCCAGCTGCAGTTACACTGTTCCTGTAGATGGTGAACAGAATAAAATTGTCAAAACACAGATGCATATCCTCATCACCCCAACTGGTGACCTGATGACCTTTGATTTCCGCTGAAGGTGACCTCCTGTGTCAACGTAGATGGAGACTGGATGCTGCATGTCCAACCTCCAAGGGTTTGCATGATGGCAGGTTGGTTGTGCTATGGAAAATATCTCCGCTGTTGGTTCTATGTAGAATATCTCCACTGGTTGGTTCTACGTAGGACATCTCCACTGGTTGGTTCTACGTAGAACATCTCCGCTGGTTGGTTCTACGTAGGACATCTCCGCTGGTTGGTTCTACGTAGGACATCTCCACTGGTTGGTTCCAAGTAGACCACCTCTACCAGTTGGTGCTATGAGAAGAGGGACTCTTCACAGAACTTGAGCTGCCAGATTTTGCCAGCAAACAGGTCAAATTTCTCCTTCCCAAGCAACTCTACCAGGCGGGGCTGAAACAAGGGCAGGTAACTCATCTTGTACACATTTGTTATTGTGGAGCTATCAATTTTTACCTACCAAACTTGCACCCAGAAAAAGTCCACCTTATGAATCAGGCATCTATCAGGACTTTTGATGACACAAACATGCAAACATGTGCACCATGTCATCAGACTTTATTTTGGTTGTTTGTTTGTCACACTCAGCAATACTCCAGCTATATGACGGTGGTCTGTAAATAATTGAGTCTGGACCAGACAATCCAGTGATTGACATTACAAGCATCAATCCACGCAACTGGGATACACTGACATGCATGAACCAAGTCAGCAAGCCTGACCACCCGATCCCGTTAGTCGCCTCTTACAACAAGCATATCCCAGATCTTCAGACTGCATTTTGTCCTCACTTTAGATTGAAAGAATAATAACTACAGACAAATACCATACCATAGCTACAGGGCTTCAGATAATTCTTGAAGTCCTTGATTTTTCTTTGGTTCTATGTATTCTTACAAATTTATTGCATATTCTTCAACAGATGATTTGGACATTTCCAAAGAAGCTATAATCTTAACTGATGTTTCAGGTGAAAGGACTCACTTGGTTTTGCTTTCTTTATATACACAAATGAAGTAGTTTAATGCTTAGATTCCTTAACGAGAGAGTCAGGCAGCACACTTCATCATCACAACAGTCATACAAGTTACGATAAGAGAGTTGGTGGTTTTATGCATTATTCAGGGCAGCAGAGTTCATGTACGTTCATTCGATCAGTTACAAAAGATCAGTAAAGAAATACAGGTGCACAAGCTGACAAGGCTTCATCGGCTAATAATGCAATCTTATTTCAGTAGTGTTTTTATAAAAAAAATTATAATTTAATAGATTGGGTAATGGTGATAGTTTTGTTATGAGGACACTAGTGCTTGGATGGGTAACTTGGGTACTCGGGTCGGCTGGGTCCTGAGTAGGAGCCGGGTACCCACAGGACTACCCGGACCCGTGTTTAATGACAAAAATTATCTAAAACTCAATGGTTACACTATAAGACACTAATGTTCACATTTCTTTCTGACAATGCACCCATTCCTTCTGACTTTTGTATGTTTGAATATGGATAAATAAGATAAAATAAGATAAAATAAGATAAAACTTCATGCATTAAACTTCAGTGTATGCATGAGCGGATCGTCTTACACGTGCATCTAAATACATTTTGCCAGGGCTATGGTCAAACTTTTCCAAATCGGACAGTTTGTACCTACATGTATCTCTAAATATCTACAGCAGGTACCCGGGTAGGGTCGGGTAATAGGGTGGTGGGTACCTGGGTAGTAAATTTGGTCCCATCCCAGCCCTAGAGGACACACAGTCATTCTGGAGCACCGAGTCATAAATCAAAATGGCGCTTACCTCGACTTCATCGTCTTCAATACGTTCCAGTATTTTGTAGGCTTTCTTCAGCATGTCATAGCCAACGCCTGTCACACAATCCCTGGAACAGATACATGAATACTCTGAATATGTACACATATTACATCACTGTCTATGTATTAGGGCTGGGACGATACTCTAACAGTGCAATACGATACGTATCACTATACCTTGCTCACAATCCCATACATATCACAATACAGTTATCCCTCGCTACAACGCCACCTTCGGGGTCCAAATAACTGATGAGCGTTTTGATGATCAGCGGTATAACGAAGGTCGAGTCGTAGGTGGTAGATGACCAACAAAACTGTATACATGCTCTGCTTACCTAACACGATCTATGTTGCATGTTTCAGAGTTTAAAAAAAGATTAGAATAGAAGTTGTTTATGATTCATAGTCTAAAAAAAGACTTATCAAGTATTAATATGTGCTTTAAAAAAAACACATCGTATCCCTTCAACGAATTCAGGAATATCAGAAATTTGATATAAAACATCACTAGACTTGATGATTTACCATCTAAAATGTATTTCTTGGTCTCCACGGCATTGTTTTATATGCAGAGATTAAGATTACCGTGCTCATATCTGTGGTGCGTAAGCCACAATTTTCAAAGACAGGATTGCCAAATACCTGGCACATTGATGATATAGAGTTAGCAGTGTCAAATATGGAGAGGATGACTATGAATAGCATCTTTTAACTTCTTTGGAATGACGTGCCAGGGATCGAACAGCCAACCTTCCGCTCTCCGGGCAGAGCCTCTATCTAGTAGACCACTGAGGTGGCACCCATGTTATGGGAATATGATATTGACATGATACGAAAATCCAAGCAAACTATTTTCCTCAGAACTTACTTTTGTAAAAGACGTATTCTTTCCATCAATCTGTTTGTACTTGTGAGCGTTTCAACACCTGGAAATTAAACAGAACAAGGTGATCAAATCCAAAACAATTAGAGATTAAGGAAGAAAAAAACAGAAATACTTGGGAAATCATGGTTAAAATTTAAACCTTGTAAATCATGGAAATAAAGCGAAAAAAATGAGTTTCCCTTGCTCGCATTAATAAAGGGACACATTTTATCTGGACATATTGGAGTTTATTGTCATGTCAGAACAAAGCTTGCAGTAAACAATGTCAGTGAGTGAGTGAGTAAGGTTTTACGCCGCTTTTAGCAATATTCCAGCAATATCACGGCGGGGGACACTGGAAATGGGCTTCACATATTTCATGTTGGGAATGGAACCCGGGTCTTCGGCCTGACAAGCGAACGCTTTAACTACTAGGCTACCCCACTGCCCCCAATAAACAATGTAATTGCCTTATTTGCTGAAGATCGAGACTATCATACCATGTGGACTGTAACCATGACAACTCACTTGGCATAGATGATGGCCTGTGTATAGGCTCCTCCGGCTCCGGCTCTACAGGTTCAGGTGGAGGGTGGTTGCTGCCGTTCACTTTGCTGGGGGAGATGATGTCGTTACTGTCATCATCCGACTTGTCCTCCTGCTTGTTCATCTTCAGAGTGGTGTTGAGGAGGGAGATGAAGTTGGACATCTCCTTGTTCTCCCTGCAGCATCAACAAGATCAAGAGGATAGTTCAGTGAGTGACTGAGCATGGTTTTACGCCGCTTATAGCAATATTCCAGCAACATCACAGCAAGGGACACCAGAAATGGGCTTCACACATTGTACCCATGTCGGGAATCGAACCCGCGTCTTCAGCATGATGAGCGAATGCTTTAACCACTAGGCTATCCCACTGCACCGATAGTTCAGTGACAGGTTGCGGTGTGAAGATGTGTCAAAACAGCTATGTTAACTGTTTCATTGGCATTCTACACGTTGGTGAGTAAACAAGAAAACACAACTTTAGGCCACACTTTTTTTGCATTTGCTTTACGGATCCACTGAGTGTAAATTTTCTTGAAATGGAAAAAAAATTATTCTGAATTTGCTTCTTTTATCATGCCAATAAGCTGAAGTTGGTTTGTATTAATGATGGGTGTCAAAATAAAGTTTGTTGTTCTTCCTGAAACTGATAGGATGAACAGATGCACAGCGGTATTCTTGTTGAGTTATCAGGTCTGCATTGTTTACCAGCTGACCTGTTGTGGAGCAGAAAACTAAAAATACCGAACTGAATTGCTTTTTTGCCCCCACCTTCTGACAGCTATTTTCCTGTAAAACTTTTAAAGCAAGTTAGAGAAAACGTGTGGCTTTATGGACGACATCTTCAGTTCAATTACTCTGGCGATGGCTCAATGTAGACTCTTACACCATTCTTAAGCTGAAATGAATTTCATCCTTGACTGGTAGGTTTCCTTTTCCAACCAAGGCACTGATCATGAAATTTATGATCAATAAAATATAATTTATAAATAATATCCATAATGGACTGTAATTCAGCAATATTGGTCATTGTTGTCAGGAAAACTGAGGTCAACATTCTAATCTTAATTTTCCTTATCATTCAGTATCTGACCGACATATAAGTAATATAAGTAATAACTGCATCAACAACTTTGTCAATATGACAACAAACGTAGACTTGCTCAGAGGTCACATTCATCACCAAGTCTGTAGTTATTGTCGGTAAAGATTCCCAAATGTGAATTAAAAGTTCTTATTTCATGTAAATGTAGTTATAATAATGTGATGGTTAGGTCAAAGTGACTTACACCTGTAACTGGACCCAAAAAGAAGAAGGGGCTTAATTTTACATCATTGCATAAATGCAATGTTACAATGAAATGTTAAAATACTTCCCGATTTGCTTGCACCAAGTGCACCAAGAATCCTGTGATAAACCCCTGAATTGCATCAACGACTTTCATAATTATTCCAACTTCTACCATGAACCTGGAGCACTGGTGTTTCAGAGGGTATCAAAATACACACGCATCTGAATCTATGGATGCTCCATCACACAATAATATCTCCACTAGTAGAGCCACTCTGATGGAGTTACCAGCTGATCTACCACCCACACACAGATCGATCCCGACATGCATGGCTCTTCTCACTCACTTAGGAGATAAACATGTGTTTTCAGATTTGCAGGCGTTACTGAGTATTTGATGATGTCAAATTTCATTTGGAATGGATGCCTTTTGCAGCAGGTTTCAAATGTTAAAGTTTCTGGCCATCCAATACTCAATAACACCTGCAAATCTGAAAACAATAAGCATGAAAGTCAGGGCTCCTTGTCAAAGCATCCACTTTGCAATGTTACCAGCACCTGCGAACATCACATACAGTACATGACTGTGCATGCTTTCCTCTTTAGACTCAGGTTAAAAAAGGCATCCCCCACCATGTGCAGTCAACTCTCGCTAAGGCTTTTTTTAAAACGTTGTTAATGAATTTGATGACTCCAAATTAAAATGTAAAAAAATATAATAAAAGAAACTCAGTGTTTTTGATTCTGCTGACCAGAGAGTAAAATGTCTAACAAACAAATATACTGTCACTAACCCGGCCCAGATGTTTGTTGTTTCCTTTCCTATTATGGGAGGTAACTGTTCTATTTATAGAGTATCCCAATCTCACAAACTGACGATTCAAGTATCGTGTGTACCTAAGTATTGATGATATTGTAGGTGTCGGTGAATTGTTACAGCCCTAACTACCATCATTGGAATTTACTGCCCTCAGCACAATAAAGTACCAGTAGTGAATTTCAAAGGCTGGTCAAGTATGGTCAGAGATTCTGGCCACTTGTTCCTCATTATAGTCTGTCTGTCTGTCTCTTTATTGTTTAACGTCGCACTCAGCAATATTCCAGCTATATGACGGCAGTCTGAAAATAATCGAGTCTGGACCAGACAATCCAGTGATTGACATCATGAACATCGATCCACGCAATTTGGATCGATGACATGCATCAACCAAGTCAGCGAGCCTGACCACTCGATCCGGTTAGTCGCCTCTTACGACAAGCATAGTCGCCTTTTACGGCAAGCATGGGTTGATGAAGACCTATTCCACCCCGGATCTTAGTGGGTCTCATTATAGTCAGCTCTCTGGACAAGAATGGTGGTATCAGTTTAAACATCCTCCATGATTTCATCTTATTACTTCTTTTAGTCAAAAAGTGAAAATTCAAAGACCAGGCAAGCACTCCTTGTCACACTGACACCCAAAACAGCTCAACTACTTGTATGCAATTCTTAAAAGTCATTGCCCAAGAACCAGCTGGTTTTAGGTCATCTTCCAGAGGCAAGAGAGTTAACTGACTCAAAACATCCAGTTTCCACCCTTGCTGAACTAGGCTGGAATTCCTGGGCTCGATCGTAGCGCCACCAGTGGCAATTACAAGTTATGTCCCTCCAAAGCCTCTCCTATGGACCAATCAGATTCCACCTCTTGTATCACTTCGCATTTGCTTCAAACAAAAGAGTGGCGCCTAGTCAAGACGATCTGATTGATAATCAAGATCTATATTGTGATTAAACAGGTCTTACATCGCGAAGTGCATCAAATCATGTGAGCACCTTGATTAAAAACATGAAAAAATTTGGAAAATATCTGTTGACAACGAGTTGGTGTGCGCATGCTTTGCAAAACCTGCAATCGACCGAAATCTGCATTACATTTTACGAACCGGATTTCGATTTAGTTGCGCAATTTTGATTGGACTATGCACAGACTCGTTAATCCAGCCAAAATATAACTCCATAATACAAGCCTAGTTCGGCAAGGGTGGAAACTGGACTTCTATAGTCAGTTAACTCTCTTGCCTCGGGAAGATGGTTTTATGTATAAGCATGATCCTCCTCCCCTTCCCCAAACACAATGGCTATATATCTGCAACATCCACAAAGCTTTGTTATTTTAAAGCGCATTTTGTCCTACAGGTTAACATGCTACAGCTTGTATACACATGCATGTGCAGCCTTCTCCCGTGTGATGTGTGTGTGGGAATGTACCTATGGTTGACGACGTCAGCATCACAAGGCACACCCGTGTCATTGAGCAATATGTCAACATACCACCTGCTGCCAACAAAACAACAGAAGAAATACAGAAAAACATCAAGAAATAACAAAAAATTGAGTAAAAAACAGATAAAAAAACAAATTAATAGGTGAATAATGCAAACAGATAAAACAGTAGAGGAGCAAGATATTATAAAGATAAGTTGCAAAACAGCCAAACTTCAATTGAAAAAGATACACATATATATGACTCAAAAGAAGTTAAGGACCAACTGATACTTTCATATTACTACAGTCAATCCGTCATGGGTGGTCCTTAACTTCTTTTGAGTGAGTGAGTATGGTTTTATGCCGCTTATGAATATTCCAGCCATATCACGGCAGGAGACACCAGAAATGGGCTTCACTCATCATGCTCATAGTAGTATTTGTTATGACCACTGTTCATGGCTGGCCAACTGACCTGCTGACAGCTGAAATAGCAGAGTGTCTTCATGACATGCTGTTATTCAAAGACATAGGGATACAGTGTATACCAACATATACCGTATTCAGTATCTGTGAAATGGGGTCAAAAGTCGTGTTCAAGATAACTGCACTTATTATGCAAGTGTGGGTGTGTGGCTGCTTGTACTAGTTCGATACCATGTTGCAGCTCAACATGAATACCCCACTCAGACACAGTATAATCCGAGCCTACCAGTCCTTGTTTCGTACCCTTAATGCTGAGCACCAGCCAGGGTAACAACAAGTACAATCTTTTAACATCTTTTGAGTATGATTGAGGGAGTGAGTTGGGTTTAACGCCACAGTATTCAAGTTATATCGCGGCGTGTCAGCTTAATGTGGGAGGAAAGCCGGAAGTGATGCAGGTCTCAGACGGTTACCACTTCGGTGAAACCCACAAGCATAGGTATGGTGCCTAGAACCTAGAACCATAATAGGGGCGAACCGGGATTCGAACCCACAATCATAGGTTTCTGGTGTGCGAAGGGATGCAACTTAGACGACTGGGACACCCCCGCCCCCCTTTTGAATATGATGTGGATTGGGCTTGAACCACTGATTTTCCCTTCTCTAGGCAGACGCTCTATCACCTAGTCCACAGAAGCAGTCTACTGTATTAAGGAGTTGCTAGCAAGGGTTAGTTCTGTCAGTCTTAGACAGTGCTTTACAGGCAGGTTTTACTTATGGTTCAGTGATTGGGAAGGAAATTTTCTTCATAGGCCTTTGGCAATATGTTTACAAAATCTATGGGCCATTTTTGGGCAAGAATAGGCCATAACTTTCACTCTATGGCCCATTGATAAGTTCAATGGGCCACAAATTCAACATAACTTCACCCGAATCACTGTAAATAGCCCTGAGCAAATCCATGGTGTAACCAGATCAAATCATATGTAATCGGAACATTTTGAAAAAAAACCCTGAACGATTTTGTGCGAATGAGTACAGTTGTGTAAACAAAGATGGCGGCAAACCAGCAATTCACTGGTGGCAATGAAATTAAACTGTGATTTGTCAGTCAATGTAAATTTGGTGGTGTAAGAAAACTAACGCGTATGCAGGCCCCTGTGTGTATTTTTTATGTGCCATTCTTAAAAATTATGCATGAATCACTGAAACCATGGCAAAAAGAAAATCTTCTGTCGTTGCTTGAAAGATGTGACAGAAACAACAGTGCAACATATACACAAAATAGTGGAGTTCTCTTTTATGGTCTTCCTGAGAAGCAGACATCAGGCACGAAATGCTTTGTTAAACCGAGAATTTAGAAACCTCCATACCCATTGGCTGATAACAAAGTTGGGCAAACTTGACATTTTGATGAGGCTTTCAAAGTTTCCTCGGGGTTTAATTTGCTTGACATGAACTCTGAGCCTTATGGAAGGTCTGGCAGATATGACAGAGATCCGAGTTATATCAGCTGGGTGGGTCTCCAGGCTGACGTACATCACTGTACCCTACAACCTTGCCTGGTCCAGCTGACTGACAGGGTGAAACCTGGAATGTGTACAGAATCCTGCTAGACATGGTGCTGAGCATACCTGCGCTTCTGCTTCTCCTTGTTGTCACTGTCCGTGGACCGGGTCACCTCCTCTGAGGAGCTGCTGGACTCGGCGTCGATAGATGGCTGCCGGGGTGCCTTCTTTGGGAGGGGCTTCGACCTCACTGGACCCTCCTACACACATTATATTTTACATAGTGAGAAATCTGGAACGTGTAGGACAGGGAACAATCTCATTGAAATCAGATCTTAGTGCTCGCTACTGCTACACATATATACAAGCAGCGATAGAAACTAACAGTTTTAGACCACTAGTCCTTATAATGACAACACATAGCAAAACCCTAGAAAAAGGGCAAATTTCTACTAGTTGTTAGGATACCTTAACCATTGGGCAGTTTGGCAAGGACTATAGGACTATTCAATAACCCTGATAAGGAGACCCAGTTATGGGTCATGTCAGAATGACTTTCCTTCAAACTATCCAGAGTGTTACTTACAAGGTCGCGAAATGAAATCCGAATGTGTTTTCTAATCATGCAACCTTGAAAAGGTTAATACAAGTCATTCCGAATGACAGTTACGGGCTGTATGATTCCATCAAGATCATCATCTATCTCTCGCTTTAAAGGCACATGTGAACCAAGTCACTTGCCCAGGGTGACACCACACGTGTTGACATTTGTGTTTTGGGTGTATGTTTGTATTCGTGTTTCCACCATCTGGCCATCTACCATCGGACGAGTGGGTTCTTTTGAGTGCACAGGGTGAATGTTCTGTACACTAGGGGTAGTAACAACACTGTAAGGACCTGTAAACATTGACGTGGGTGGATGGCCTGAAGTGATGCAGATCTCAGACGTTTACCAATTTGCTGAAACCCACGAGCACGTGCATGGTGCTGACCAACCAAAGAATCACAATCAGAGCGAAGGGATGCATCTCTTCATGGCAAAATTTCGGTGCCTTGGATAACTGGGACACATGGGGTGTTGGGCACCTACTGTGAACCACAATCACCTACCCATCCTGATATAACAACAGTCATTAGCCATACCCTGCTCCTCTCAGCCTTGTCAGATGACCTCCTCTCAACCAATCGGATCCTTGCTGACTTCGGTTGCTCTAGAGCTGGAAGACAACAACACAAGGTTATAACAATTATAATAAAATTATCAGATACTATCAGATACTGTGAGCATGTTCAATAGGAATCCCATGACAATCTATGCAAGCTGATCAACATACAGAGTGAAGTGGAGGGATGACTTACAAACGGCAGCTGGGTTCTTTTGTCTGCGTCTCTGACGGGCTGACAAGTTGGGTAAACTCTGAAACAATCAATCTGACATTAACAGCATCTGTCAACTACATCCGACATTAACAGCATCTGTCAACTATATCCGACATCAACAGCATCTGTCAAGTACATCCGACATTAACAGCATCTGTCAACTATATCCGACATCAACAGCATCTGTCAAGTACATCCGACATTAACAGCATCTGTCAACTATATCCGACATCAACAGCGTCTGTCAAGTACATCCGACATTAACAGCATCTGTCAACTATATCCGACATTAACTGCATCTGTCAACTATATCCGATATTAACAGCATCTGTCAACTATATCCGACATCAACAGCATCTGTCAAGTACATCCGACATTAACAGCATCTGTCAACTATATCCGACATCAACAGCATCTGTCAAGTACATCCGACATTAACAGCATCTGTCAACTATATCCGACATTAACTGCATCTGTCAACTATATCCGATATTAACAGCATCTGTCAACTTTATCTGACATTAACTGCATCTGTCAACTTTATCCGACATTAACAGCATCTGTCAACTACATCCGACATTAACAGCATCTGTCAACTATATCCGACATCAACAGCATCTGTCAAGTACATCCGACATTAACAGCATCTGTCAACTATATCCGACATTAACTGCATCTGTCAATTATATCCGATATTAACAGCATCTGTCAACTACATCCGACATTAACAGCATCTGTCAACTACATCTAACATTAACAGCATCTGTCAACTACATCTAACATTAACAGCATCTGTCAACTACATCCGACATTACTGGGAAATGTGACGATGTTTGTAGAACCCTGTATAATGTTATTTGTTTGTTGTTTAATGCTGCACTTAGCAATACTCCAGCTATATTGTCTTGCCATGTCTTGTCCTGTGAATAATCAAGTTTGGGTCAGGAAGACCATCCCAAGCCATCAGGGTACTATGACCTACAATCAACAACTTAGCCTGACCACCAGGTCACCATTTTAGTCAGCTGTTACCATGGTTACAACAAGCTTGAAGGGATGGATCTGGTTGTATCTAAACTTCATGAGCTGATGGGTTTGTAATCATGTTAATGTTTCCTTAGTTAATGCTGGCATTAAAAAGGGCTGTACAAAGATGTAATTAAACTGTCTACCTGAAGTGTAAAATTTCAATTAATGTGTCATTAAATTAGGGTATTGCCCTATTATTTTCCCAGAATTCTGTTTGAATGTCAACACACTTTCTCCTTCCTATCATCATCTTCCTAAGGAAAGCGTGTCCACTAGCCTATATCAAGGCCTAGATACTACCCTTGTCGTGGATGTTGATTTTGTGAAACATTCTTTTGTTCCTATCTCTTTAGACCTACAGTGGGTACCCGGGTAGAGTCGGGTAATAGGGGGATTGGTACCTTGGTAGTAAATTTAGACTTGTCCCAGCCCTGCAATGCACCACTAAGTCCTGGAGATCCCCATACAGGTATTTTACCAATCCTCGTTTCTAACACAAGACAACAAATAGCCGCTAACCCTGGGAGTCTCCAGGTCTCCTATGTTGGCGTTGTCCTCCTTGGAGCTGGAAACACTGGAGGACTTGGAGGACGAGCTAGAGGACTCCTTCAGCCTCAACTCCTCCCTCTTCTGGGGAAGTCCTGAGCTCTCCTCCACCTTCGGCACTGGCAGCGGTCGCGGTGTCATCTGCAGCAACAACATCATCATGTGCTTGATATTGAGAAACTTCAACGGCTAATGTATTATCAATCATTACATATCTTTCAGCCTTCAAAATTCACGCAAGTCCGCTTGCCACATCTACTAATTTGTGCTGAGGACAAGTAACAATCCAATGATGGTAGTTCTCATCGACTCTTTCCTCACAACAGATACCTCAGATAATACTTAATTCATAACATATGAAATAAACAGTTCATTTAATTCTAAAACATCATGAGAAGCATAAACAATGAAAACTATTGATTGAATTACTTGTGCCCAGGTAAGAGTACAAGAATCATTATTCTGGTCAAACATAGGATTCAAGTTGACAAACAGCAGATCCTGGCATCAAAGGGAGACAACTCCTCATAGTTACAAGCAGAGACACTGGCAGATGCATGCCTCATCGTGGCCATGTATTATGAAAGTGAGAGCTTAACTGCACTGAGCATGTTTAGCTATAGTCCAGCTAAAGAAGGCCACAAAAAAGGATTACAAGAGTTTCATCCAATTTATTAACAAATGTGCTACAGGCATCTTCCCGAGGCAAGGGAGTTAACTGACTATAAAAGTCCAGTTTCCACCCTTGCCGAACTAGGCTGGTATTATTGAGTTATATTTTGGATGGACTAACGAGTTTATGCATAGTCCAATCAAAATCGCGCACAGAAATAGAAATCTGGTTTCTTAACTGTCGTGCAGATTTCGGTCGATTGCAGGATTTGCAAAGCATGTGCACCGCCAACTCGTTGTCAGCAGATATTTTCCAAATCTTTTCATGATTTTAATCAAGGTGCTCAAGTGATTTAATGCATTTCGCGATGTAAGACACATTTTATCACAATATATATCTTGCTTATCATCCTGACCGGGCGCCACCATTTTGTGTGAAGCAAACGCAAGTGATACAAGAGGTGGAATCTGATTGGTCCATAGGCGAGGCTTAGACAGGGCGTAACTGGTAATAGCCAGTTAGTCGTTAGTCCAGCCAAAATATAACTCAATAATACCAGCCTAGTTCGGCAAGGGTGGAAACTGGACTTTTAAGTCAGTTAACTTTCTTGCCTCGGGAAGATGGCTACAGGAGGCATTTTATTTTGTTATAAAGCCAGGCCAAATAAATGACATGGGAATTTCTTTCAGAAATGTAAGATACAGAAGATGCAAAAACAAGAACAGGAAGACTTAAAAAAAGCAGGTACATGTTGAATTGATGTTTCTCAAGTTTTATGAAAGATGCCTCAGAAGTTTCCCTAACCATCACCAACATCTCCGGATGTTGGTCAAACTTTTGTTTTTCTTTCTGAGCTTAACTAATGCAGAAACTTTACAAACCATGTTGTTTCCAACTTCAAGTTCACTATTCACAACACTGACTGTCACATATTTCAAATTTAAAGTTACCAAAATGTGCAAAGGGGTTGAAATATCAACATTTTTCGAGGTTAGTGTTTTTCTTCAGATGCACAAACTGTTTTTATCTGAAATTTCGATATTCCCTTTGTCAAGAGTACAGCTCCTACAATCTACTTGAGAAGGTAGGAGGAACTTTCTCAATTGTTACACTACAGTAACCTGATATAATGCAAGAAAAGAGAACAACAACTATAAAAACCTCCGAAAACAACCCGATTTTCGTTCTTTTAGTCAGTCAATGTCCTAGTAGCCTGCAATCTCGGGGTATCGCGGTACTTGTCATGTACGCTAAGCAGAACAAAATGCACTCACTAACCTTTATGATTTTTCGTGTTCTCTATATCAGGTGTATTATATTTTATCTAACAATGCATATTTTATTGACAAAAGTTCATTATTTAAATTAGTAGCTCCGAGTAAAAGCCGGGCCACGAGCTCAGTTTGACAAGGGAGAGAACTCCATCATATCGCGGTACAGAGAAAAATTGTGTATGGAGGTCAGAAGTGAACAAAAAGAGGACATAATTCTACCAACCACTTGGTATGATCATGCCAGACATCAGTGATTTGTCCAGACAAGTGCAAAGACAGCACAAGTAAAATTCTAAATGTGTTATCAGTATTAGGTATTCAATGCATATTAACCGAAAAGTAAGGAAAGAATATTTTTAAAATCAACAACAAAATATAAGAAATGATATTCTAAGATTGTTTAAAAAAAAAAATGGATGACAATAATTTGTCACAAAATGGAAAAATGTTAAAAGTCAACAATAAATATATAAAAAGCACTCTTAGTATGCCCAAAGTATGTATTTATCTTTTGGCTACTAGTGAAGAACGTATTTCTAAGTTTGGCATTATGGTCCTTATGATCTCCCAATAGATTCTCGGCACAGAGCGGGAAAAAATGTGCGGACTACGTAACTTCCGTTACCTTATGAGTCGCCATGAATATGCAGATGATCTAGTTCAGGTCGATAGAGAAAGTTTACTTGGGGAACTGCGGGTTATATCGTTGGCCATTGATAGTAGGGGGTAAGGCAATATTAAAAAATATGCCAGAAGTAAGTATCAACGCATTAATAACTCCTTACTTACAGCAGACGGAACATTCCGAGGAAACTGAAATTGTTTACGAAGTGAGCACTTCCTGGTTACTGATTTGCATTAATAGACAGCCGCTAAGAGGTGTGTCCCGTGTGAGCTACCGGAAATCACAAATGCCGCGATACGATGAATGCTGCGGTACCACAGGGTCCGAGTATACTAGAAACAATCAGAAACCCTGGACTATGTACATTGTGTACTTCATCAAGTTCGGAAAGAACTAAAAACTATGGCAATTGTCTTGAAAAGCAGGGGTCACCTTCACAAACGTGGGGAACAGAACCTGGGTCTTCAGCGTCAAGAGCGAACACTGTAACTACTGGGCTACCCCACCACCTTTGGTATTATGACTATTTAGCAGAGTTTGACATTAAGGTGGTCCTGGGGCCCTTGAACTTTCTTCCTTCAGTATTTGATTCTTCACCCCTGATTATTTATCTTTTAATATTAAGGTCCTGACAAAGATCTCTTGACTTTCGTGCTCAATGTTGAACACGGCTTAGTCTACTGAAGTCTGTAGGTCCCCCCTGTCTTATGTATCAGGAGAGAGTTTATAAATGCATCACTCACGCTGCTCCGGCTGCTGTTGCTATAGTTACTGGCTGCTGATCTGACACTGGCTGTGGATTCGGATCTCTCTGGCTTCGACTCTGCTGATGACTTGTTAGCACTGTCCACTTTCCTTCGCAGGTAGCTTTCCTTCTTTGCCTTTTCTTTCTTTGGAGACTTTTTTGGCTGAAAATGGATGTACAGTCATCTTAACAATTCCATCTGTCAAAGTTGTGACCGATATTCAGAGGACGTCTACAGTATATCAGAGTGAGTGAGTGAGTGAGTATGGTTTTACGCCGCTTTTAGCAATATTCCAGCAATATCACGGTGGGGGACACCAGAAACGGGCTTCACACATTGTACCCATGTCGGGAATCGAACCCGGGTCTTCGGCATGAAGAGCGAACGCTTTAACGACTAGATTACCCGACCGCCCCCGAGTATATCAGAGCTATCATCTTCACCTCTGAAGTTTTTGAAAGGCATTTAGAATTGATACATATGAGGAAGAGAATTTATGGATATCAACTTCTTTATTATGAGTAACGCAATGTTTTGGAGTATATACTTACTTCTTCATCCGGTGAATGAATGCTAGGATGCAGGGGGCATACATAATCCGGTATGTCAGTGCAGGGTTCACTTTATGGGCTTCTGACATGGGCCCTTCATGTGAAAATTTAAAATATTCCAGAGGTACGCCCATACCGCACAATGTTAAAATGCCCCATTGTATTTGAAAATGTGGGCCTTTTTTTAAATTTAGGGGCTAAAAGCATGAGGCCCCATGGTAGAATTATCCCTGTATGTGCATGTGAAAACAACACTGATAGTTATTGTTGTACTTGTTGATGGATATTACTGCATTATCTCCATGTTGATGTCGTATCAAGTCTTTAAAAGGCATTTAGAAGTGATACATATAAGGAAGAGAATTTATGGATGTCAACTTCTTTATTGTATGGGGCAGAGAAGACATATTTGTTGTTCTTGCAGGTACATATATATATGTTCTCTGCCCCATATCATTCATTCACCTGATGAAGGACTAAGAATATACTCGGAAACATGTTCTTCACAATTGAGAAGTTGACATCCAGAAATTCTCTTTGAATGTCTGAGGGACGATGGCATCATGTGATTCAGATAACTGTGAGATGTCTACATCATATATATCAGTGCTGTCACCTACCTCTCTGACTGTCTGAAGATCAACAGTGTCATGTGACTGGGATATTCAGAGGATGTCTACAGTATATCCGTGTTGTCACCTACCTCTCTGACTGTCTGAAGGACAACAGTGCCATGTGACTGGGATATTCAGAGGATGTCTACAGTATATCCGTGTTGTCACCTACCTCTCTGACTGTCTGAAGGACAACAGTGCCATGTGACTGAGATATTCAGAGGATGTCAGTTGTATATCCGTGTTTTCACCTACCTCTCTGACTGTCTGAAGATCAACAGTGCCATGTGACTGGGATATTCAGAGGATGTCTACAGTATATCCGTGTTGTCACCTACCTCTCTGACTGTCTGAAGGACAACAGTGCCATGTGACTGGGATATTCAGAGGATGTCTACAGTATATCCGTGTTGTCACCTACCTCTCTGACTGTCTGAAGGACAACAGTGCCATGTGACTGGGATATTCAGAGGATGTCTACAGTATATCCGTGTTGTCACCTACCTCTCTGACTGTCTGAAGGACAACAGTGCCATGTGACTGGGATATTCAGAGGATGTCTACAGTATATCCGTGTTGTCACCTACCTCTCTGACTGTCTGAAGGACAACAGTGCCATGTGACTGGGATATTCAGAGGATGTCTACAGTATATCCGTGTTGTCACCTACCTCTCTGACTGTCTGAAGGACAACAGTGTCATGTGACTGGGATATTCAGAGGATGTCTACAGTATATCCGTGTTGTCACCTACCTCTCTGACTGTCTGAAGGACAACAGTGCCATGTGACTGAGATATTCAGAGGATGTCAGTTGTATATCCGTGTTTTCACCTACCTGTTTGATTGAGGTATGATGGTGTCATGTGACTGAGCTAATTAGTGTTATCACCTACCTCTTTGACTGTCTGAGGTATGACAGAGTTGTGTGACTCAGATATCAGAGGATGTCTACAGCATATCAGTGTTATCACTACCTACTAAGTACAAAGAAGATGTGTATGCCATATTATGACTTGTATTTGAAAATAATATAAGACGAAGCATAGTATCTGATATTACAGTATTCATATGCCAGACATGTGCAATGGAATACAGACATTGTTTTCTCAAGTAGGGTTTGTGAACAACTTCCAGCTATGCATCAGTTAATTCACTGTAAAGATGACAGTAATCAAAGAGCCAAATTTGCGGCCAAAATTAAAATAAGTGCGCCAATGTCAAAATTCCGTCGCTAATAAGAGGGCTGTGACTGGCTGAGGTATGACAGTGTCTCATGACTCCGATAATCAGAGGATGTCTGCGATATCAGTGTTATCACCTACCTCTTTGACTGTCTTAGGTATGATGGTGTCATGCGACTCCGATGACCCTGATGATGAATGCATGCTGCGTTCCTCATGTTTCTCTCGGATGGGCTCGAGGTCAGGGCGACCTGCGTCAGAGGGTTTCCGACTGTGACTTGATTTCCTTTCAGCCACAACCGGAGCATCACCAGCGCCTCTGTCGTCTGAAGAGGCAGCAGAAAAAATAAATGTTTCATTTGTTTCAACTGCACAGATAAGACAACAATCATGGAACAAAAGATCAAACTATTTTGTGATTTTGATAAGCACCATACGTCTTCAGTATCCCTCCTTGTTATGAGGAACATATGATCATAATGTGTCACCATGGTGCTCAGTTTTGCTCATGCTGTCAATCATTGGTTTTCCTGACACAGACACAATTGCAGAACCTTGGAATGTGACATTTCTCCCAGGTGAGTGAGTGAATATTGTCTTTCACCTCTCAGCACGATTACATCTTAATGTTAAAGTTGTTTATTATTTATGACCAGGTGTGCCTTATTCAGTATTTTCACAAAATGAAATATTTTAAACATTCAAGCATGGAATACTCATATCCCCTACCAATATGACATGTCTGGTTGTGTCCAAGGCAAGAAATATTGTACGTTTTTCAAGATCTGCTCCGGAAAAAGCACTCCCACCATATTCAGTCTAAATCTAAATCGTTGCAATTGAAACTCGAAGAATAAATTTTTAAAATATCCCAAACTATCCAAAGGCAGCAGTTCATCACTAGACCTATTTATGTGCCAAGTTTGATTAAGATAGCTCTCATGATTTTTTAGTTCTGCTCCGAAAATGAAACATGACAGAGAACACCCATTCCCATATCCCCATTCCACTTCGTGGAGGGGGGTATAAACATATCTTGCAAACATGACAACGAATTAATCGAACGTCCATGATTACTAACATCCTGGTTCAGCTTCCACTGGTATGTTGACAGGTGGTCTACTGTCGATGTCCCTCGCTGCAGGAGGAACTCTACTGTCGACGTTGTCCCTCTCTGCAGGTGGAGGTGCTCTACTGTCGACGTATTCCCTCGCAGCTGGGGTTGGCCTGCTGTCTGAGTTGTCCCTGACTGCAGGGGGCGGCCTGCTGTTGACATCCCGCGACACAACGGAGGGAAGGTTGTTGTTGGAAGATGGCAGTGAGCGGCGAGACTCTGCAGATGTTGGCCGACTGGAGGAGGCGGAGCTAGGCCTTGTACCGGAGGCGGACGGAGGTCTCGAATTGGACGGGCGTCGACTACTGCAGATGGAATTATCAGTCAGAATTACCTGTTTAAGCACCTTCCTAAATGTTAATTCTGTTAAGTTTTGGAATTCAATTACCTCATTTCAGATCTTTCATGTCTTCTAACAATCTTATCCCTTTTCGTCTTCAGTGAAGTATAACATATAAATAAAGGACATAGACAGCAATATAGATTCCTAATGATTGTATTGTATCATTGCAAAGTGAAAAATATCAACTTTTATTGATGAAATGAAAAATGAGTAAAATTCACCCAATAAGTCAGGTCATATCATCTACAAACTGCAATCTCTTGTGTGGAATCTTGTTTAGAAAATTACATCCTCCGAATCATCAATGCCTAAGGAATGCAATGGTGGTAGTAAAATGTACTAAAGACTCATTGTGGGTCATTGTGGGTATAAATGGTTAAAAAAACAGAGAGACTAAGTATATTGGAGAATAGCCTGATTGAATATAAAGGATATATTTGAAGTTGAAATGGAGAAATCACTCCAATCTGTTGATTCTAGAAGTGGAGTGAGTGAGTGAGTTGGGTTAAATGCCGCTTTTAACAGTATTCCAGTTATATCACGGCGTGTCAGCTTATTATAGGAGGAAAGCCCGAAGTGATGCAGGTCTTGGATGTTTACCACTTCGGTGAAACCCATGAGCACGGGTATGGTGCTGACAAACCTAGAAACATAATCGAGGCGAACCGTGATTCGAACCCACAATCATAGGTTTTTGGCATGCCCAAGGGACGCAACTCTGCACAGTGAATCGCGGCGCCTTAGACGTGCCCCCTCTAGAAGGGGAACACGCCTTTGGGGCTTGTTGATTGAGCTTCAGGAAACAACAGATTGGAGTGAATTCCGTAATGGAAAAAACACTCGAATCTGTTGGTTCTGGAAGTAGAGTAAACGGGCCCCGAGAGAAATCACTCGAATCTGTTGATTCTACTCTGACTTCAACCATGTTATGTTTTGTTTTGTCTCTATAAGTATAGGTGAGGTGAGGTGAGGTAAGGTGAGGTGAGGTGAGGTGAGGTGAGATGAGGTGAAATTGGGTTTAACGTCATGTCCAAGATTATTGCACTTATATAGCGACGTGCATGCACGTGTGTGTGTGGCTGCTTGTACTAGTCCGGACTGATGCCGATTAAAAGTGCTAGCTCACTGAGATACCATGCCGCAGTTCAACATGAAAACCCAACTCAGACACAGTATACTGACTCCGAGCCGACCAGTCCTTGTTTGAGCCCCTTAATGCCGAGCGCCAGACAGGGTAACAACAAGTACCATCTTTTACCGTCTTTTGGTATGACGGGCCCGGGGATCGAACCCGACTTCCGCTCTCCGGGCGGACACTCTACGACAAGACCACGGAGGCGGTCTCTATAAGTATAGAACAAGGACCAATAGTTGTGTTAGTTTTACATGCATAAAACGCACGTTCAGAATGGCCAGTGAATTCCAGACTCCAACAACAAAAGCATGATGTCATCCTAATGGTTTTGCCTTGAAAATTCACTTCAAATCTACCACAAGATGCTGAGATTCATCCTGACCATCTTTGAGGGTCACATCTTGTTATCAGTTAATAATTGCTTCAAGCAAACAAAGGAAAGCGAAATTATTTCTGTTCAAGAACCTCCACAAAGCAGCACTGTGTCTACCTTTTCTTTGTGTCTTCTAAAAATATTGCAATATTCTTCTTAATGTAGGGATCCCTGAGTATCCTGTTAACACTGGGCCTCTTTTCTGGATCCTGGTGCAGCATCAGTTTAATCAGTGATGTCAGCTCGGTGCAGTACTGTTTTGGCATGGCTGGCATCTATAAGAACAGGATACGCATCAAGCGAGGAATGAATTGCAAGTGGCCTTGTCAAAAAAATTTTGTCTGTTATTTGTTGGTGTCCAAGTTAGGTAAAATACTCCTCTGCTATGCTTGGGATTGTAAACCTTCTAGAATAAGTGTAGTAAGATACACAGTCGTCACAGCTGTATAACATACCCTATAATCCCCACAGCAGTATGACATACTCCATAATCCTCACAGCAGTATAACATACTCCATAATCCTCACAGCAGTATGACATACTCCATAATCCTCACAGCAGTATGACATACTCCATAATCCTCACAGCAGTATGACATACTCCATAATCCTCACAGCTGTATAACATACTCCATAATCCCCACAGCTGTATAACATACCCTATAATCCCCACAGCAGTATGACATACTCCATAATCCTCACAGCTGTATAACCTACTCCATAATCCTCACAGCAGTATGACATACTCCATAATCCTCACAGCTGTATAACATACTCCATAATCCTCACAGCAGTATGACACACTCCATAATCCCCACAGCTGTATAACCTACTCCATAATCCCCACAGCTGTATAACATACTCCATAATCCCCACAGCTGTATAACCTACTCCATAATCCCCACAGCTGTATAACATACTCCATAATCCTCACAGCAGTATAACATACTCCATAATCCTCACAGCAGTAGGACATACTCCATAATCCTGACAGCAGTATAACATACTCCATAATTCCCACAGCTGTATAACTTACTTCATAATCACAAAAGCTGTATAACTTACTCCATAATCCCCACAGCAATGTAAAGTACTCCATAATCCCCACAGCAACGTAAAGTACTCCATAATCCCCAAACAATATAAAGTACTCCATTATCCCCACAGCTGTTTAACATACTCCATAATCCTCACAGCTGTATAACTTACTCCATAATCCCAACAGCTGTATAACTTACTCCATAATCCCCACAGCAATGTAAAGTACTCCATAATCCCCAACCAATATAAAGTACTCCATAATCTCCACAGCAGAAGGACATACTCCATAATCCTGACAGCAGAAGGACATACTCCATAATCCTGACAGCAGAAGGACATACTCCATAATCCTGACAGCAGTAGGACATACTCCATAATCCTGACAGCAGTAGGACATACTCCATAATCCTGACAGCAGTAGGACATACTCCATAATCTCCACAGCAGTAGGACATACTCCATAATCCTGACAGCAGAAGGACATACTCCATAATCTCCACAGCAGAAGGACATACTCCATAATCCTGACAGCAGAAGGACATACTCCATAATCCTGACAGCAGTAGGACATACTCCATAATCCCGACAGCAGAAGGACATACTCCATAATCCTGACAGCAGAAGGACATACTCCATAATCCCGACAGAGTAGGACATACTCCATAATCCTGACAGCAGTAGGACATACTCCATAATCTCCACAGCAGCAGGACATACTCCATAATCCCGACAGAGTAGGACATACTCCATAATCCTGACAGCAGAAGGATATACTCCATAATCCTGACAGCAGTAGGTCATACTCCATAATCCTGACAGCAGTAGGACATACTCCATAATCCTGACAGCAGAAGGACATACTCCATAATCTCCACAGCAGCAGGACATACTCCATAATCCCGACAGCAGAAGGACATACTCCATAATCCCGACAGCAGTAGGACATACTCCATAATCCTGACAGCAGTAGGACATACTCCATAATCCTGACAGCAGTAGGACATACTCCATAATCCTGACAGCAGAAGGACATACTCCATAATCCCTACAGCAGAAGGACATACTCCATAATCCTGACAGCAGAAGGACATACTCCATAATCCTGACAGCAGTAGGACATACTCCATAATCCCGACAGCAGTAGGACATACTCCATAATCCCGACAGCAGTAGGACATACTCCATAATCCCGACAGAGTAGGACATACTCCATAATCCTGACAGCAGTAGGACATACTCCATAATCTCCACAGCAGTAGGACATACTCCATAATCCCGACAGAGTAGGACATACTCCATAATCCTGACAGCAGAAGGATATACTCCATAATCCTGACAGCAGTAGGTCATACTCCATAATCCTGACAGCAGTAGGACATACTCCATAATCCTGACAGCAGAAGGACATACTCCATAATCCCTACAGCAGAAGGACATACTCCATAATCCTGACAGCAGAAGGACATACTCCATAATCCTGACAGCAGTAGGACATACTCCATAATCCCGACAGCAGTAGGACATACTCCATAATCCCGACAGCAGTAGGACATACTCCATAATCCCGACAGAGTAGGACATACTCCATAATCCTGACAGCAGAAGGACATACTCCATAATCCCAACAGCAGAAGGACATACTCCATTATCCCGACAGAGTAGGACATACTCCATAATCCTGACAGCAGAAGGACATACTCCATAATCCTGACAGCAGAAGGACATACTCCATAATCCCAACAGCAGAAGGACATACTCCATAATCCCGACAGAGTAGGACATACTCCATAATCCTGACAGCAGAAGGACATACTCCATAATCCTGACAGCAGAAGGACATACTCCATAATCCTGACAGCAGAAGGACATACTCCATAATCCTGACAGCAGTAAGACATACTCCATAATCCTGACAGCAGTAGGACATACTCCATAATCCCGACAGAGTAGGACATACTCCATAATCCTGACAGCAGAAGGACATACTCCATAATCCTGACAGCAGTAGGACATACTCCATAATCCCGACAGAGTAGGACATACTCCATAATCCTGACAGCAGTAGGACATACTCCATAATCCCGACAGCAGTAGGACATACTCCATAATCCCGACAGCAGTAGGACATACTCCATAATCCTGACAGCAGTATAACATACTCCATAATCCCGACAGAGTAGGACATACTCCATAATCCTGACAGCAGTAGGACATACTCCATAATCCTGACAGCAGTAGGACATACTCCATAATCCCGACAGAGTAGGACATACTCCATAATCCTGACAGCAGAAGGACATACTCCCTAATCCTGACAGCAGTAGGACATACTCCATAATCCCGACAGCAGTAGGACATAATCCCCAATCCCCACAGCTGTATAACGTACTCTATAATCCCCAAAGCTGTATAACATACTCTATAATCCCCACAGCTGTATAACATACTCTATAATCCCGACAGCTGTATAACATACCCTATAATCCCCACAGCTGTATAACATACCCTATAATCCCCACAGCTGTATAACATACTCTATAATCCCCACAGCTGTATAACAGACTCTATAATCCCCACATCTGTATAACATTATCTATAATGCCCACAGCTGTATAACATACTCTATGATCCCCACATCTGTATAACATTATCTATAATGCCCACAGCTGTATAACATACTCTATAATCCCCACAGCTGTATAACAGACTCTATAATCCCCACATCTGTATAACATTATCTATAATGCCCACAGCTGTATAACATTATCTATAATGCCCACAGCTGTATAACATTATCTATAATGCCCACAGCTGTATAACATACTCTATAATCCCCACATCTGTATAACAGACTCTATAATCCCCACATCTGTATAACATTATCTATAATGCCCACAGCTGTATAACATTATCTATAATGCCCACAGCTGTATAACATTATCTATAATGCCCACATCTGTATAACATTATCTATAATGCCCACAGCTGTATAACATACTCTATAATCCCCACAGCTGTATAACAGACTCTATAATCCCCACATCTGTATAACATTATCTATAATGCCCACAGCTGTATAACATTATCTATAATGCCCACAGCTGTATAACATTATCTATAATGCCCACAGCTGTATAACATTATCTATAATGCCCACAGCTGTATAACATTATCTATAATGCCCACAGCTGTATAACATTATCTATAATGCCCACAGCTGTATAACAAACTCCATAATTTCTACAGAAGAACTTACTGCATAATCCCCACAGGAGAAACTTACGACATAATCCCCACAGGAGGATATCTTAGTCCAGAACACAATCATCCCCCCAGGACTCTAACCTGAATATTTCCTCAAAGTTCTCAGGAGTATAACATATCTCTTCCCTTCCCTTTTATGCCTACTCCCCAAAATTGGATTTCAGCATAATGTCTGCAGGAACTATGACCAGCTTTTCTTACTAGACAGGAAAAAATACTACTCGGGCTTCGCACTAGTGGCTCAAGTCACAGATTGGGATAACATATCCGTCGCTATGTTTACCGGTCTAACATTCCCGTCTGGATGTGCTAGCCCTACTCACCTTGCCTCGCAGTATCTTGTACACCAGGGAGTTCATGTCCTTGGCATTGAAGGCGTGTTTCAGAGTGGCCATCTCGTACACACAGCAGCCTAGGGCCCACACATCCGACTGAAGCCACAAAACATTCGGTTACCGATGAGGCGAGATGAAATGGCGGTTAACGTCGGGGTTAAGATTACTGCAGTGTATAGCAACTTGGTGCACGTTTGCATGTACTTGTCTGGACATACCGTATTCAACGTAATAAGTGCCCCGCTCTAATAAGCGCCCACGGCAACATTTGCTAATATATTGGCTAGTGAACAATCCCAATTAGCACCCCTTCCAATTGATCAATGTATGCAAGACTTATCTATTCGCGTATAATATGCACTCGTGTGTTATATGCACCCTTAATTATGGGCAATTAAATTCTGGAAAAATATATCTGTCGTACATAAACATTTCAGATTGTCAGCATAAACCAAGAAATTTATCTTTCAACTCTGTTTTTTTCCCAAAACAATATTCTAATAAGAGCCCCCTATTCCTAATTTTGAGAGCGCCCTGGGCGCTTGTTACGTTGAATACGGTACTCTGGTTTTCAAGTGCCTGATGACTGAGATACCATGCCGCAGTTTAATGTGTATACACAGCTCAGACACAGAATGCCGACTCCGAGCAGATCAGTCCTTGTATTATTCCCTTAATGCCGAGCTCCATGCAGGGTAACAACAAGCACCATCTTCTAACCTCTTTTGGTATGACACGGCAAGGTATAGAATCACTGACCTTCCACTTTCAGATCAGACACTCTATACTTTTAGAAAATGAATGTGGCCATGCTACATGGAAGAAATGCATTGGATGTGAAAAGGTACTTCTTTACATGCCTTAGCAATTCTCATTTTTCCACTTAGAAACTTGGAGGTGATGTGCTTTTATAGAAGAATTTATTAATAAGTTTCATAAAATTTATCTCATATGCTGATAACTCTGGTGAAAACTGGTTATTGAAATGTCAACAAATTATAGGAAAAAGATTGAGTTAGTGAATATTATTTTACACTTCAGTCAGCAATGTCTATCACAGTGGGCTGTACAGGTTCGAGTCTTGACCAGACAAACCAGGGGTTGCTAGTCTAAAGATTGTCAGGGTCACACAAGCATGATCATATACATACATGTTGTGACCCCATTTCAGTTTTCTCAGCTTCATATTATCATGATTATCCCATCTCCCACCCCTGTAAGTCCAGAGAATTACAGTGTTAGAAATTGGCACTAGTCCTGTAGCCCAATAGTTAAGGTATCATAAAGACTAGTAGAAATTTGCCCTTTTTAAGGGTTTTTGCTATATGTTATCATTATAAGGACCAGTGGACGAAAACTGAATTATCTAGGCCTGCTAGACCGATATTCAAAACAAATGTCAGTAAATATTGGAATTATCAATTTCCAGAATCAAACATGGATAAACAGAGAATTACAGTGTTAGAAATTGGCACTAGTCCTGTAGCCCAATAGTTAAGGTATCATAAAGACTAGTAGAAATTTGCCCTTTTTAAGGGTTTTTGCTATATGTTATCATTATAAGGACCAGTGGACGAAAACTGAATTATCTAGGCCTGCTAGACCGATATTCAAAACAAATGTCAGTAAATATTGGAATTATCAATTTCCAGAATCAAACATGGATAAACAGAGAATTACAGTGTTAGAAATTGGCACTAGTCCTGTAGCCCAATAGTTAAGGTATCATAAAGACTAGTAGAAATTTGCCCTTTTTAAGGGTTTTTGCTATATGTTATCATTATAAGGACCTATATTACCTAGGCCTGCTAGACCGATATTCAAAACAAATGTCAGTAAATATTGGAATTATCAATTTCCAGAATCAAACATGGATAGACTCAACAAACAGATACAACACACTGTTACAAAATCCCTAATTTATGTATATTATCATGAAATGTACATAACCGACTCTCTACAGCAAATTAACATATACAGGGAACTGATATTTGTTCCCCGAAGAGCCCATATACCAAATGACATGTAGACACACAGTGTCACTAAGTGTCACACTGACAATTTACTATACTCGATCAACACAATCAGTGGTGAGGATTAAGTGTAGGAGAAACCATGTCTCCGAGGGATTACTAGAGATTGTAAACCCTCACATGAGGGACGTTCCCGAATGTGAGTGTTTACAATCTCTAGTAATTTCGAGGAGACATGGTTTGTCCAACTTATAAAGCGACTCATCGCATAGACGTTTTTAATTAAATAACTGTAATAAAAACTCTCAAATGTATAACCTGTAACGGAGATGAAATATCGTGCGTCTTGTAGGCTGTTCGTAGTTTTTGTTCTATCAAGGGTTTACAATGATTGTAAGCCCTCCTGCGAGGTGTTACAATCTTTACCTCCCACGAGGTGTTGCAATCGTAATACCTCCTATGAGGTGTTACCACAATTTCAAAAACTCCATATCGAGTTACACAAACAGCCAGTAGGTTTATAAAATTGGTTAGACTTGCTTCATGTTAATCTTTATCCGTAATTGTACAAATCTTTGCTGTAAAATACACATTCAACTAGTAAATGCTGCAATTATTGTTTTGATGGCGGACCTTTTTGAGAGAAAAAGTACATAACGAACGTTTATGATTTCTCCTTTCCTTTGTAAATATTGTGGTTTGTTATATCCATGTTCTACTGTAGTAATAATTAATGTTATGTTGTACTGCTCACACGTATTTCAATGACCAATTTGCACAAACTAATTATTCTCCCCAAAATGCTTGGCAAGGGGCACTTCATTGCAATTCTGGAGAAATCCCAAAGTCTGTGTTAAAGTATGGGAGATATGTTCGTCTTAGCACTAAGATCACTTGGTGGAAGGTGGCTGGCCGTGCTGTCCTGGAATTACCTTGTGGTTATAGGGTTTATTGGAGAATAGCTCAGGACTCATATAGTAGGGCGTTCCTATCAGCGTTGTCGCCATATCATTTGAACTATCTAGCACTCTGAAAAACAACCAAAACAATATCAATGAACCATAAAAATACAGAATTCGATATTTGTTTGCTTGTTGTTTAACACTGCTAGCAGCGATATTCCAGCTGTATCATGTATACAACAGCAGCTGTAAAATATTCATCTTATCAAATATTGACCACAAACAATGAAGGTCTTTTGGAGTTCCTTTTGTAATGTAACATGTATAAGTTCGGTGGCAGTAGGGGTGGGTGGTGTGGGTCGAAACATACACTGAATAAGCATGATGGGAAAGGTTTGTTTGTTTGTTGCTTAACGCAACACTTAGCAATATTCCAGCTATATGACGGTTCACTGTAAATAATTGAGTCTGGACTAAATAATCCAGTGATTGACATTATGATCATTGATACAGGTAATTGGGATACGATGACATGCATCAACCATGTCGTCAAGCCTGACCATCTGATCCCATGAGTCGCCTCTTATGAAAAGCATGGGCTGATGAAGACCTTATTCTCTACCCGGATCTTCACCATTGAGCCCTGGACCTGTTGGATATCTTTAGGCTGGTATCTCAATCACTCAACCATATCAATACTAACCTTGCTATACCAAGATCTCCTACTTTGATTATTTTACTCTTGGTTAAGAATATATTCTGTGTCTTCAGATCCCTGTGGAGTATATTCCTTTCATGCATATACTGAAAACATAAATACACAGTTTGCAGTTACTATGGTGAGAGATATAATAGAGAGGTGTTATGATACGGTGGGGTCGCGATATGATATGTATCCCGATACTATGGGTGCAATATGCATCCTGATACAGTATTTTTATTTCATAAGTTAATATTCTTTGTTTTTGCAGGTACCAATGAAAATCCTGAATCATTTATTTTAAATTTCAGAGATTGAAAAAGCAATGTTGTGGGGCAGAACCATATAGGCTCGTGGGCTCTGTGAATAGGGGTGAAATGGTACATCGATGCACTGGTGCATCGTTGGTTGTCATGAGACGATGCTATGCATATGTTTCTTCTGTAATGATACAAGATGATACACTTTGCTAAATAAACTACTTACTACTCGCTTAATCATGTTAATGGCACCCAACATTTTCGTCAGTCAAATATCCCGAAATATGTTGTTATTAGGGTTTCAAGTTCACAACTAAAAATAGCTTGTCCGAACATGTGTCTACAGATAGCATTACCTTTTGAACCTGCTCTGAACAGTGCTGAAATATTAATAGCCAAGAAGCCTGACCACCTGATCCATTTTGTTGCCTCTTACAACCACCTGGGGACCTATTATACATGATTCTAACCAGGAATCCCCATGGGTCGGATGTCAACTTGAAAGAAAGTTCTCTGACAAAAGAACTTCAGTGTTGCAGTAAAAGAAAAGAAACCTTACCTGCATCGCCATAGCTATCTGTACAAACCACTCCACCACTTGTCTTTCATCAAGAAGCACACATTTCTGTTCTTTAAGTTTTGTGTAGAGGTCACCTCCTTCACAATATTGCATAGCAATGTACAAATATCCTTCTCGTGTTTCAAATGAATCTTTGTATGACACGATGTTTGGATGTTTCAGTTTGGACAGAAGCTTAGCTTCTTGTTCGGCAGACGTCCTCTCTCTTTTGGACGCCCGTGACAAGTTCATTTTCTTCAACACATACTGAAAGAAAGTAATAAGCTGTGTACTTCTGATCATTATGAACAGCAGTAGAAATTAGCACTAGTCCTATAGTCCTTGCCAAATTGCCTAATAGTTAAGGTATCACAATGACTAGTAGAAATTTGCCATTTTTAAGGGTTTTGCTATATGTTATCAGTAGGACTAGTGGACTAAAAATGTTAGTTTCTTTTGCTGATGGATAAGACAAAAACATAGGTGCATGATTCATGCTGACATAATTTAAAACAATCCTTAGATTTTAGATCAAAAAGCGTTGGGGACATGTACTTTGCTGGTCACTCGCTAAGATAACTACCCACAGCATCCATTGTTACATTGAATAGGGGCAAGACCCTCTTCGTGTTTGACCTTCTCCGTGTTTGACCCCCTACATAACTCTTTCATGCTTAAAGTATACATCCATACATATGGCAAACAATAGATGCAATTCCATGCCATCTTTTAACATGTGTTTAATTTATGTGTTCAGTGTCACTGAGCACCTATTGATGCAGGATTAGAAATTGGCACTTGTCCTGTAGTCCTTGCCAAACTGCCCAATAGTTAAGGTATCATAAGGACTAGTAGAAAATTGCCATTTTTAAGGGTTTTGCTATATACATGTATTATCATTATAAGGACTAGCGGACCAAAAATGTTAGTTTCTACCGCTGTTGATGGATATTAGGCGCCATATAAATTCATAATTATTATTATTATTAATAATAATAATAATATACATGATATTGGGACAGGCAAACTGTATCTACTTGTACATATATTTTACAGTGATTACATATTAGTATTAATTTCAATAACATAGGGGTTGAAATGGCTATCAAGCAAATATTCTTTAAGAAGAATCTTTGTATAATTATGATTTACTGATAAAGAACTACACGCTTGTAAAACATGTAACATTGTTAATCATATCACGCTGCATATATCATGTATATATATCAAATTACAAAATGTAACCATGCACATAAAATAAAAGTTGTTTTACTGTACACATGATGTCACTCTCTTGCACCACCATATGTTGAAACTACATGACACTGTATACAATAATCTGTACAAGTAGGCCCTACCTCTTGGGAAATAAAACATTGTGAAAATAGACAAAAGTTCAAACTACCCAAACAAGGATACATTTCCACATAAACATGATAAATTGGGCATTAAACTTTTAAAACACAATGATTGATTGGTTGTTTTTAACACTGCATTGAGCAATATTCCAGCTGTATGACGGCAGTCTGTAATAACTGAGTCTAGACCAGACAATCCAGTGATTGACATCATGAGCATCGATCCACACAACTGGGAAACGATGACATGCATCAACCATCAACCAAGTCAGCAAGTCTGATCCTGTTAGTCGCCTCTTACGACAAGCATAGTCGTCTCTTACGGCAAGCATGGGTTGCGGAGGACCTATTCTAACCCAGATCTTCACAGATAAAGCATAATGACTGAGACAAAAGGAAAACATGGAAAGGAAAAGTCAATAATCCGCACCTGTTTTCGGTCTTTCCTGTGACGAACCAGCCACACCTCTCCATAACTTCCTTTACCAACAACTTTCATCTTATCAAACTCATCAAGTGACATTTTGGCTTCTTAGTTGTTTTTCTAGTTATCAAATGCTTCTTATAAACACCACAATATAAACATTACTTAAGAAATGACTAATGTCTTCCCATTTTATGTTTTGAGTATATGGTGTTCATGACAGCTGTATAAAACCCATGACAAATATCAGTCATACGATATTCAGAGGATTTCTCAATCCATAAGACTCCAGGCAACACATGACAACTTACGACCATTGTATAAATATTTGGCAAGTAGACAAGATACTAAAATTTAGTTTACGTGATCTTAACATGATGATGTCATCGGTTTCTGGTAAAATCCTCCCGTCCCGTTGAATTATTTACCGATTACATGCAAACTAGATAAAAATGAGACTGCGAACACTGGCATTTTCTTCAAACTGACACTTGTCTACGAACATATCGCTTGTTGCCAGTGATGCTTTTCTGAAATATGGACACTCGCTGTGCATGTTGGGATATGTTGTAATACAAACGGGACTTTATTCACGAAGGAGTGCCCAAAGGGAGTTAACTCTTCTCAACAGGTACTCGTCACACCTGGGCGAATAGCGGGTCACTGGGCACCTGAATAGCCAACAGTAATTAGCATGCATTCACAATGAACCTAATTAACTAGATTGAACAGCTTTATGGAACCAATAATGAAATACGGTTAATAAGATGACGGTTAATTACGTCAGGGAATATACAGAAGGCAATATCATCTGTCTCAGATGTGACAGCCAGTACTTCAATACTTAATGAATATTGGCTATTTATTTGCTTTTTAATGTTCATTGACAAGTTCACCTATATGTGATACGTGCCTTGATTTTAGAAGAAAAAAAATATATATACCGAAAGACGGCGAAATGTATAGATTCAACATATTCAAGCAAGTATTGTTTCAATTTGATCTACTGTTTTATGTTTTAAATTGTAATTGTATGCGCATCAATTATACATATAGTTATGCCTAGGCGTGAGATACACAGAGTAGACATTCTGCTTTGGTTCAAAAGAATTCACGATTGGACAACACACTCACCGAGCAATATTGGCAATGTCTGGCAAAGGGCCTGAACTGTTTAATCACGCTCTTAGAGAGTTTGCTTGCGACTTTTTCTGTTCTATTTTTTCAACATTTTATGTTTTAACAGCAAGGCTTAAACGATACACAAGTACATCGATGAACATGTGATATTAAACGTTTCACAAATTCAATATTGATGTCAAGGCGACAGGCTTGCAAATGAGTCTGGGGCATGCAAACCAGGTGTTGATAACATGAACATCAAACCATGCCATCGGACACAGAATATAACAAATTAAGCTGACTCTTACCATAATTATAGCTGTTACTGCGGCTTTCGAGATAAACACAATTCACTCACGTTTTGTGCAAATATAAGGTGATAAAGGACATGCAATTTAATATCTTAGGGGATAGGAGACAGAATGTTTTCTGTCCGCGCTTCAAGACAAAAAAATCATTTTTTTTCTATGAAAGGAGGATACACACAGTTTTTAGACCCACACCGCTTTCTTTTCAGAACACCCTTGAAAATCCGGGATAGAATAGCTCTTCAGCAACCCATGCTTGCCGTAAAAGCGACAATGCTTGTAAGAGGCGACTAACGGGATCGGGTGGTCAGGCTCGCTGACTTGGTTGATGCATGTCATCGATCCCAATTGCGTGGATCGATGCTCATGATATTAATCACTGGATTTTCTGGTCCAGACTCGATTATTTACAGACCGCCGTCATATAGCTGGAATATTGCTCAATGCAGTGTTAAAAACAAACAAACAAAACAAATATTACAAAGAGAGTGTCGCGTACAGGGAAATACATAACATATATTTAACCAAGAAATGGTTTTCACGATAAAACAAATGACACTAAGAAGAACTATATGTTTTGTTTACAAAGGTCGATGTTAATATGCACACGATGCAACGTACACATGTGTATAGTAGCGATATTCAAACATGTATGTGTTTATGAACCATTTCTTCTCGGATGAACGAACTTCTCCCGATATTGTATCCATGCACCATCCATCAGACTAATCCCTTGTCGCTGGATGGTGTAAACACCCTACTTGCTTATTCCTGTTTATTTATTGCTTCGTTTGGGCAATTTATGCTGGCCACTGCCCGAGCGACAAAGTAGGATATAAACGACACATGCTCCCGTGTCATCAACACATCCCTGAGCACGTGACTGTACCGAGAACACAAGTTCTCATGTTCTCATATAATCACATGAGTGAGGCCTCCCATAGGATTTTGGGTGACTCGTAAGTACAGTAGAACATGGATATAACGAACTACATGTACAAGGAACCGGAGAAATCAGTTCGTTATATCCGTTGTTCGTTATATACGTTTTCGCTGGGAAACCTCCACCATCTTGGATAAAACAAAACACATTACACATAATTGGAGCATTGACTTGTAATAGCAGTGATCACTTCATATATAAATAATTCAATTGATAACATTTCATAACATTCATTTAAGTTTAACAAGGTTGATCCACCACCGCTGATTGTGTTGATTCGCCGCGATTGTGTTCATTCACCGCTGACTGCGTACAGCCAGTTGTCAGTGACACTTGAGATTTCTTTGTTCGCTGCAAGTATGTATGTATGTGTGTGTGTGTGTGTGTGTGTGTGTGTGTTAGTGAGTGAGTGAGTGAGTGAGTGAATGAATGAGTGAGTGAGAGTAAGTTTTCCAAAAGTACGTTTGCTCGTATCTTCCCTCGCCGTATCGTTGTTGGTTATATTCGTAGTGCAACCAATTCTGTACTGTACAAGGGTTTTCTGACCCCTAGAGATGCGGGTTAGAATTGATCTTCAGCAACCCAGGCTTGTCGTAATAGGCGACTAAGGGGCTCGGGTGGTCAGGTTCGCTGATATGGCTGCTACATGTATCCCGATTACTTAGGTCGATGCTCATGATGTCAGTCACTGGTTTGTCTTGTTCAACTTTGATTATTTACTGACCGCCGTCATATAGCTGGAATATTGCTGAGTGCTGCGTTAAACAAAAACAAACAAACAAACAAGCAGATTCCGATAAATGACTATTATCAAGGTGGGTGAATAAAATATAACGCTGCCGCTTTGAACAATATTACTATACATATATCGACGTCTCAGCGTTATGGACGAGAAACGTCCAATGTATACTAACGGAAAAAAGTAACGGTGCTTCATATAAAGATACATAAAAATAGATTTATTCTGAAAATAAATAATACAACATTCAATACATATTCATGAAGACATCCCCTTGACATTAAGGTCGCGATTTACAATTTGAAGAATGTGGGTGTTTGCGTGTTTGTTGGAAGCATGACACTCACGTGCATTTCTTAATGTTAACAGGAGACAGAAAAATGTTTAGCTACCAGGTGCTCATAAAAATACTTTTGTTTAACCGTAAATAAATATATAACCGTAAATAAAGCTATGCTACAGCATGCTGAAGTATGCTGCAAACAGGAATGGCCCTGAACGTAGTTGCCAGACATTTTAATGTTCATCGGAAACAAAATATCACCTCTTTGGAGACGTTATCTACAGCAGGACAACACTCATGACTTGCCACGGACCAGTCACTTGACGTCACGTCAACACAACAACCATGTTCGGTTGGTGCACCTACGGAATCAATACCAAACTGACACATCAACAGCTTGGACAATTCTTGGTTTGAGAACAATTAGTGTCAAAACCATGCGAACCAGTTGAGGCAGCACAACATCCGGCCCCGACGTCCAATTTTGCTGCCACACCATCCTCAGGCACGCCCAGCTTAGTGGGGCCAGAGGCGGTATTCGTAAACATTCTTAGAGTGTTTCATCTGGACATCTCTGATGGCCGTGCAAGGGTCTACAGGCGTCCCGGACGTCGTCAGTTTGCAAGTGTAGTGGTATGGGGTGGCATCAAAACTCATGGGAGAACACAACTCATCATTGTAAATGGCAATTTGAATGGTCTACGCTACCAGACGACATCGTTCGAGATCATTTTCTACCTTTTGTGCAAATACAGGGACGTGACGTCACGCTATAGCAGGGCAATTGCATGTGTTGTAACATATTTTTTGAGGCAGCGTAACATTGTTGGACTGCCATGGCCAGCTGTCTCTCCAGACCTTCCCCCTAGAATACGTCTGGGATTAGATGAAGCGACGCCTACGACAGGATCGGAACCAGACGGTAACCCCAGTTCAGTTGGGCAAATCATTGGTCGACACTTGAAACATCATCATCCAGTCTATTTTTAATCATCCGGTGTCTTCAATGCGCTGGTCCTATTCGCCTGCATCAAACGCAAATGGTGATCACACTGTATATACTAGTTATGAGAATGAGAACATATTATTAACATAACATTTACACCACTTTATATGAAGCACAGTTATTATTTGTGTCAGGGTCTGTATGGCAGACCCCCACCCCCACGTGGAGAAAACCAGTGGAGATTGTGGCTAAAGCATCTGCACGCACAGGCTTGTTCAGGTGTTTGTAAAGAGGGGTTCAATATCACGACGGGGGTCATCTGAAAGTTACTTCACACAATGACTCACATGGGGAATCGAACCAGTGACCGGCGTGACGAACGCCTAAACCGCCAAGCCATTCCACCGTCCCTCTTAAACAATAATTAAAGAAGCAGTAGTGATGATAGAAGCTTACGAAGTTGCTATATATATACACACATATTATATATTATATTATATACATATATAATATGCGTGTGGTAAGAGGCGACGAACGGGATCGGGTGGTCAGGCTCACTGACTAGGTTGATGCATGTCATCGTTTCCCAATTGCGTAGATCGATGCTCATGATGTCAATCACTGTATTGTCTGGTCCAGACTCAATATTTACAGACCACCGTCATACAGTTCGGATTATGCTGAATGCGGCGTTAAACAACAAACAAACCAATAGAATTATAACATTAAAGGCAAATATGTTATTTTTTAAATGGCAAGTCAAGCGGCTACTAACACCTATCCCGATTAGCATACACTTAAGGTTTTGTAATTACTGAAATTAATTAACAGAATTGTCAGGGAGAAAAAATACTGTTCTCAAAAATCAAACTTCAAGTCCCGTTGGTGATCTTTAGGGCGTGTTCGTAAACCAAAAACACATTCGTACATGTTTACATTGCAATAAACATACATAAACACATGTACGTAAGCTGTGACCCTTTGACTACCTGTATAAATTGTGTTGTTTATAGCCAGCAAAGCTGTCCGCCCACGGTCCAGTGGCTCAAGTTGCGATGGACAGTATTAATTTGTCACGGCGAGTGATACATGGCCAGGTTTATAAGCCGTGGTGTATGACCAGGCCGGCATTCCTTACATCAACAGACAACATACAGGTGAGCAAGCGTTAGTGTTAAGGTTTAAAAGACAGCTCTGTGTAAGTATCATATTTTTTTATGAACATTAATCAATTAACTTCTTTAGGTAGAATTTAGAATCTGTTCATTGATGTGGAGAAACATTAGCAATTTCAGTAACCAAAAGAGGGTATAGGGTGGCCGGGTTTACGTGCGTCAGAGGGTGTTGAACATTGGTTCGAATCCTAGATTCGAACAGATTGCGACTCTTGGTTTGCAAGGGTCATACCTACCCTCGTGTGTTTCAGCAAAGTAATGAATTTCATCGATCTTTACTTCGGCTCGCCAACATTAAGCTGACACACCGTGATGTATATGGGGAGACAACAACGAAACTCACTCCATCAGTCATTAGCGTAAAGTGACGTTTTATAATTGTTAATTAATATTTAACTGCTTTTTGATGGTAAGTATTCTAGGGAAACATCCCAGTATAATTCTGGTGAAATGCAGAATAAAAAAGTCAGGCATTTCTCTAAGTTTAGATTTTCCGTTTGACCTTATGATGAAGTAACCATCGATTCATGATTTTTCACTTATCCGTTTTTTAAAGATAAAATACAAACATAATTTACTCTTGTACTTATAAAATGTACAAGTCTCATTAATTCGTGAACACACGATGGGCCTCAACCCCCAAAAGTACAAGAATCTGAACTTTACAAAGAAAGTGTTTTCCCAAATATAACATTTGTTGCATCTCATTAAGTCCTAAAACACACCTTCTTGTATTAATGCAGTCGAACCGATTACAATGAATATTCATTCCTCTAATTTCAATCCAAAATAAGGATCTCTAATAGAATGAAAAAATCCTTTACAGTTGCAGGCGCTTTTGTGTAGAAACACCATTAATCATTATTAGGAAACTTCCCTTTTTAAAGTTAGAAAAAACTCATACCTTCTCCAAATGTGACACGAATAAATAAAGTGGTCAGTAAGAAGTAATGAATTCAGTCAGAACTTTCATTTAACTCTAAGATACTAGTACAGTAGTTGTCCATTGATTGATGCGGACGTAAAATCATTTATTTTCGTGGTAACGGTGCCAACTTAATACCCGAGTGTTTCTTTTCCCGCTCTCTTTTACGAAATAGTGTTACTGTAAGATACCGTACTAATCTAAATTAAGTATCCGGATTAATATAATTCCTGAGCCACTTGCCAACTTGTATCTTGAAATATAAACTTTACCAACAATAAAACCCCAGACAGGTTTCCGGCGTAATGAGGCTCCTTTGTAGAGTAAACTACGGTTATAACGAACTGAAAGGGACCCACTTATTTCAGTTCGTTATAAGCGTAGTTGTTTATAAGCATATATGCAGCAAATGGATGGGACCAAGAAAATACAGTTCGTTATATCAATCAGTTCGTTATAAGCGTCTTCGTCATAACCGTAGTTTATTGTATTCATATGTTTTATTCTATTCACTAGAAACATCGAATGAAGCGAGAAGCAGTCCAAGATGAGCATCCCCACTCTCCTCGCTCTCAGCGTCCTCCTGTCGACCACAGATTCGACCCAGTACATGTACCGCCTCACTAAATACATGGACCCTCCCACCAGCCAAACGCGCTTTTACCACGTAGGGCCGGCATTTCCTTACCCTCAGCTGAACTACCTGTGTAAGGGCAAGGACGGGGTGATGTTTCTACTGCCCTGGGCCTGTACGGGGTATGTCCGATGTGTTGGAGATTCAGCCTACTGGAGCAGGTGCCCGGTGGATGCTAGAACCGTTACTGGTTTGCGGGAACCAATCTGTGTGATGGACAGCACGGAGTGTAAGAAACAGGAGAAAGGTAGGGACTATGTGAAAGATGAACGAAATATTGAATATTGCAAGACTTTATGCGAATATATATAATGCTTGTAATTACAGTCATAGAAAATGTCGAAAACGCTTACGCATGACAACTCGCTAAGACATTTAACGTTATAAGCTGCAAAAGAGAGACTTGAATTTGACCCAAAAATTACAAATGTGTTCAAAACGTTACAGTGATTATGTCGCTGAAACACTGCAAACAGCTACCATCAATCATACATGTATACTTTCTTGCGCTAGATCTTTATGTACAATGAACTAAACGCTGTTTCTATTTGTTAGGTACAGTTAACCAGAGGTTGGGTCCAGGGGGTCCGCCCCCCCTTTTGAAAATCAAATGTAGTATGTTGTAGGCAGTAGCATGTTGTAGACAGCGAGGATTTTGATATTTTGGAATCACCCTTTTAAAGATGCTGGACCCTTGGTTGATATTAACGAACAACGAAACCTCTCTGAATGGTTCAGTCACAATAATATGAAATAATATGTTGAATAATTCTCAATTCAGGTGTACAATATCACTAACAAATGAAACTTATTTTAGGTGCAATCTCAACAAAAAGAAGAAATAATTTGTTTTCTAAGTTTGACAAATGTCAATTAAACCACAAACATTAGGTAATTATTAAATGTGTGACCTTTACCTGAAATAACACAGTAACATACAATCTTATCCTTTTTGTCTTTGACAGTTCGCTGGAATGAGTTCTGTCGCCTGACCGCAAGAGGGCGCTATCCCTCCACCCTAAGCTGCGCCTCGTTCTATGACTGCAGTGGGGGTGCTCAGGGGTTGAAGGGGGAGTGCCCCTACCCCAGCCTCTTCAACCCAACATCCGGGCTCTGCGAGGACTTCCGGTCTGCAGAGAAACATTGTCACGGGAGGCCAGTGCCGAAAGCCCCATGTAAGTTACTGCCGTATACATACTTGAACAAGGGCGGGATATCAAATAGAAATAAACATATATTACATAAGATCCGTTGTAATGAAAAGAGGTTAAACAACGATTATTTGAGACATTTTAGTTCGTGTCATATCCGGTGTGCGGGACTTGCATACTTGCAATGGGTCTTTTTTGAATATCCTTAAGGGACACGGGTGGCCCAGTCGTCTCATGCGCCCCAATCCGCTCTGTAGAATTGGGCACGCCAGAAACCTATGATCGTGGGTTCGAATCCGGTCCGAGGTTTTCTAGGTTTGTCAGCACCATACCCGTGGTCGTGGGTTTCACCAAAGTGGTAAACGTCTGAGACCTGCATCACTTCGGCCTTTGCTCCCACATCAAACTGACAAGCCGTAATAAAACTGGAATACTGTCAAAATCGGCGTTAAACCCAATTCACTCACTCACTGAATCTCCTTAATGATCTGAGTCTGTAGCAACTAGAATGATGGCAACTCATCTCTCTGAGTAGTAATCCAGCGACATAACACATTGTACCCATGTGAGGAATCGAACCTGATCCTCGGCGTGAAGAGCGAACACTGTAACCTCTGGACTACCCAACCGCTTAATTCCCACATAAGTTTGAATTTATGCATTAGTGTTAGGCTTGACACAACATATGGGAATGTATATTTTTAATGTTTCTTTGTTGTTTAACGACGCACTCAGCAATATTCCAACTATATGACGGCGGTGTATGTTGTTAATTACGTATTCACCATGCTCATATATATATAGTCAATGTATTGGGGGTACCGTCATCTTCCTGACTTTAAAAATCAGTTAACTCTCTTGCCACGGGAAGATGGGATACCGTGAACCAAGTGATATTGCAAACTCTGTTGTTTCATGCATAGCTAGTGAATAATCCGGTTAGATGTTTCATTTATTAGAGACAATGAGGTGAGCTTGTTATTAATTGTTGTTTTTTATAAGAATATATATTTAATTACTGTTTGGTAAATCACATCTATTCGCTACCACGCTAAATAAACAAAGTTCGTAGGAGGACAGTCAATAAAGCGTCCCATAAATGCTTACACACTTCACATTTTAGTACACAGTATTTTTTGTCACTGCAATGATTAATGTGAAATGTAACAGTCTTGCTGTTATCAGTAATCATAATCGTAAACGAATAAATTCACAGGAAAAAAGAACCACAGTAGACAATGCCATGTTTTATAATAAATTATACATATTTATAGAAAAGAAAAAAATACTTTTCGTTCAGTTTCACCCTGTATCCCGGGTCGTCCGTCAGACCCGAAGAGGCCAGTTTTTTGTTGTTTAACGCGGCACTCAGCAATATTCCAGCAATATGACGACGGTATGTCAGTAATCGAGTCTAGACCAGACACTCCAGTGACTGACATAATTTTAACCTACACACCTGGGATACGAACACATGCATTGACTAAGTCAGCAAGCCTGACCACCCGATACGTTAGTCGACATCAAGTATGGGTTGCTGAAGAACTTGACGGGACCCGGGGTACACGGATGTGTCCGCCATACTGTCATATTGCTTGATTTTTCCGAAATCGGCGAGAAACGTTTACCAATCACTCATTCACCACATACCGCGTATAAACTATAATATATGACTTTCATCGATAAAACTTTTTTTTTTTCCACTTGTCCTAAAATGGTAACATATTGCAAAACCCTGAACGACAGCAAATTTCTACTAGTCCTTATGATAGCTTAACTATTGGGCAGTTTGGCAATCACTCTAGGACTAGTGTCAATTTCTAACGTCTTCACACTTTACCAACAGGCGACTACCAAGCTCTCAACATCACATGCACAGATCTACACTGTCTGCCCTGTTCGGAGCTACGGCCATCTTGTGTTGGTAAACCGAATGGGAACCACGCTCTGCCAAACCGGATCAACTACCCTTGGTACCTCAGATGCGAGAGAGAAAGAACTATGGGTGTATTGAAATGTGATGAAGGGATGTTTTTCTCATCCTTCTGTTCTCGGTGTATACCCTTCGGTACAACAACGTGTTATTATTATTATTACTAGACACTGTGTGCGAGCAGAGAAAAAACCCTGAAATCCGAATGTGAGCGTATTGCACTTAACTGTATGCCAGATGCACTGTGGACTTAGTGAATCGTTTAATGACAATACTTTTTCAAAAACTACTACTACTACTACTACTACTACTACTACTACTACTACTAACTTAAAAAAAACCCCATCAATTAAAAGTTTCGTTGTTTAACGCCGCATTCAACAATATTTCAGCTATATGACGGCGGTCTGTAAATAATCGCGTCTGGAGAAGACAATCCAGTGATCGACATTAGTATCATCGATCTACGCAACAGGGATACGATGACATGCAAGTCAGTGAGCCTGACCACCCGATCCCGTTAGTCGCCTCTTACGACAAGCATGGGTTACTGAAGACCAATTGTAACCCGGATCTTCATTTTCTTGAGAAGTTCTTTGAACGTTGAGTAGACAAGACAGGGTCGAGTCCAAATGGCAGCTGGTTCCATGTTACTGCTGCTGCACAAGACTTGACATCTTCCCGAGGCAAGGGCGTTAACTGACTATAAAAGTCCAGTTTCCACCCTTGCCGAACTAGGCTGGAATTTCCAGACTCGGTCGTATAGCCACCAGTGGCTATTGCGAGTTATGTCCCTTCTATGTTCCTCCTATTGACCATTCAGATTCCATCTCTCATATCACTTGCATTTGCTTCAAACAAAATGGCGGCGCCCAGTCGAAGACGATCTGCTTGATAATCAATTTCTTTATTGTAATAAAACGGGGCTTACCCCGCGAAGTGCATCAAATCACTTGAGCATCTTGATTAAAAACATGAAAGAATTTGCAAAATATCTGTCGACGCTACACATGCTTTGCAAATCTTGAAGTCGACCGAAATCTGCACGTTGAAATCCATGTTGTTTACGAACCGGCATCTTCCCGAGGCAAGAGTGTTATCTGACTTTAAACGTCCAGTTTCCACCCTTGCTGAACTAGGTTGGTATCATGGAGTTACGTTTTGGCTGGACTAACGAGTCTATGCACAGTCCAATCATAATCGCGCACCGAAATCGAAAACAGGTTCGTAAACTGTCGTGCAGATTTCAGTCGATTGCAGGATTTGCAAAGCATGTGCACCGCCAACTCGTTGTCAACAGATATTTTTCAAATCATTTCATGTTTTTAATCAAGGTGCTCGCTTGATTTGAAGCACTTAACGATGTAAAACCCGTTTTATCACAATATAGGTCTTCATTATCGATCAGATCGTCTTGACTGGGCGCCGCCATTTCGTTTGAAACAAATGCAAGTGGTACGAGAGGTGGAATCTGATTGGTCCATAGCGAGAGGTTTAGAATGGCCATAACTTGTAATAACCACTGGTGGCGCTACGATCGAGCCCAGGAATTCCAGCCTTGTTCGGTAAGGTTAGGTTAGGTTAGGTACCTAGGAGATTTTACGTGCGCTTTCCGACTGAAAGCGTATTTCGCACACGGGGAAGCACTTTATACTATTGGGAGAAAAAAAAGCGTAATAAATAAATAAAGAAGTGCGACCCAAAAAAATGTAACTTTTACAGTGCTAATCTAATAAAGCTAAGGGGGGCAGTGGGGTTGGCTGGGGGGGTGTGGGTGGTAATAAAATACTCAATAATATGGAAAAATTTGGGCGTGGGTTGGAGGGGAGGGGGTCAAGCGTGGGAAGGCACGGCGTCGGCGGGCGAGCGTGGTCTTGGAAGTTTTACCGACACTGTCCTTGCAGGAGGTGCTTGGAGACCTGCTCTTCATGGGGTTTGGAACCCCTGAAGAGGACCTTTGTAAGGAGTGCGGTGGTGTTGGCGATGAAGTGGTTGGAGAATTTGACGTTGCTGTTTTGGAAGAAGTGTTGCAATTCCGTGTAGCCTGCAATGTCGTACTCCAGTTCCTCGGTTGCCGTTCTGTGGACGATGGCCAATGGTACTCCTGGCTTGGCGTAGATGTGATCCGTGGAGGTGTGGACCTTATCTGCCTGGAGTTGCGGGTGCGTCCTGTAGTGCTGGATCAGGATTTGTGCCTTTTCCACTAGGACATCCTCGAAGCTTTTGACCGGAGGGGGTGCCTCGACCGGGGTGGTCTGGGTCTGGGCTTCAGCGGATGGAGTAGGTGGTGGCGTCGTGGTCTGGACGCTGGAGTCCACTAGGGCGGGCTCCAAGGTCTGGGACTCTGTTGACGCTGTTTGTGTGGTCGGTGGGGTAGAAGGTTGAGGTGAGGAGATGGCTCTCCTCTTCCTCTTTTTTCTTCCGTGACCAGTGCCCTCCGGCGAGAGGAAGGGCTCCTCCCCTCTGGATTCGAGGGGAGCGAGTTCCAACGCAGCTGCCGGGGGGGGGGGGGGGGGGGGGGGGGGGGGGGTGGAAGGGAGGGTGGTCTCGATCTCCATGTCGAGGACAGGGGGAGGGGACTTCTTCTTCCGTGGGGGCCTTTTCTTCTGCGCCTGATGGGGTGCAGGAGGGGCTGTGGCCGAGGTGGGTTTCTCCTTGGGCTTGGTCTTGGCCGAGGCTTTGACCAGAGGCCTCTTCTTTTGACCTAAGTCAAAGATGATGGAGATGGTAGAGGTTTTGGACTTGTAGGAAGTCCTGAGAGAGTAGTCCCCAACCCGGTAAGCCAGCAGGGGCTCCAGGATGGAGACAAGCTCCCTCGGTAGTGACCTAGAGAGATCTCTCATAGTCGGTTGGAGTGTTGAGAGCTTGGATGGACGTGTTCGCAGGGCGAGTGTCCAAGCCGAGATGAACGGTTCGGTAAGGGTGGAAACTGGACTTTTATAGTCAGTTAACTCTCTTGCCTCGGGAAGATGACGAACCGGATGTCGAGTTCGTTACGCGATTTTGATTGGACTATGCATAAACTCGTTAGACCAGCCAAAGTGTAACTCTATAATTGCAGCCTAGTTCGGCAAACGTGGAAATTTATAATTCTGTTCGAGGTATATAGATATTGCTGTACGTGCCCACATCGCCAGTACTCGAGGGTTTGTATACACTTCATCAACTTCATGTAACTCCATCACAAAGCTAGCCCAATAGTCAAAGGCGCCACAAGTTGCAATGCAGAATTACATGCCGTCATGGGTTCGAATCCCCGTTCGCCTGATTATGTTTCTTGGTTTGTGAGTACCATTATAGTATCATTCGATGGACTGCACTGTCGTCCCTCTGGATAGAAGAAACCGTGCATTCTTTCTTACACCAACATCATCTATTTTTTATGTAAATATTGACCTCGGAAAAGTACAGATTGAAATGCTGTAATTGTTGAAATAAAACGCGGGATGTATATGATTGCCAATGTATGTTCGATGAGCGTGTATGAACGGAACACCAGGATGTGTAGCATGTATTTGTGGTTACTCCTGTTAAATTGAGGCTTGTATAGACAAGATAACAACACCCGAAGTGTATAATAAATTATATGTTTTTGACTGCGTTTGACTTAATTATCAGGGCAAAGCTGAAATATAAATTGTGCATCTCTCTCTCTCTCTCTGTCTCTCTCTCTCTGTCTCTCTCTCTCTCACTGTACTTGTGTACTTGGTGCTGCCTGGCGCTCGGCATTCAGGGACTGAAACACGGACTGGTCGGCTCGGAGTCATTAATATACAGTGTCTAAATGGGATATTTATGTTAAATTGCGTTAAATTGAACATTTGAAACCTCACGGTTCGCGTTCGCTTCCAAATTCGATTTAGCGTGGAGCGTGCCTCCACGTGAACGTGGGTCAGCAACAAGGACATCGACACCATCGTGGGCATGTATATCTTGTCTGCACATCCGGCAACGGGGTAGACTACAAGGAGAAGCTTTCTTCTCTGTGTATAAACACTAGCCTCACATTACCTTGGACTTCAGCAAACAGTGAAGGTAAACAAACGATTACATTGCATAATACACAAAGAACTTTGTTACCTCAGTTGCAATTGTATTTGCTTATTGTTTAAGCAATATTCCAGCTGCCTGTAAATAGTGCAGGCCAGACGAACCCGTGATTGATGTTATCAGGCGCGTACCTGGGATAATGTATATGTGGGTTTGACACGCAGTTCACCATCTTCCCGAGGCAAGAGAGTTAACTGACTTTAAAAGTGGAAACTGGACTTTTATAGTCAGTCAGGGTATGAAACTCCCAAAAAATTCAGCCAGACCACAGGACTGGCTAGCTGAAATACTTGCCAGCCCTGACCAAAACCTGCCTGCCCACTATAATCATATGTTTCTCAGGATAAGCTAACGGGGTTTCTTTTTGGTTACATTTTATCATTCATCTTTACATGTGAATTAATGCTTATCATCGGGAAATATTTTGAATATTTTCACATATGAAATATAACCCGACCGTCGGGCAGGGGGATTTGAAAATCTGGCAGCCCGAGTTGAAATCAACCCGTCTCGGACGGTCGGGCAGGCAGGTATTTCGAACTCTGAGTCAGTTAACTCACTTGCCTCGGGAAGATGGCAATTCACTGCTTAAGTTCATTTTTCAAGGGCCCGAATATGCATGGGACATTTTTGCGTTCATGAATCTTTTAACATAGAGAATGATTAACCAGTCACGATTTTCCGACGAAACAGATCGCATTGGGCGAAACGACAAAACAGAGGTAAAAATTATATGAATGGATCACTGAAAATCAGTGATGACACCAGGTGTTCGCGGAAAGGCTAAACATTGCTGCCCTATTGGTTGCCCCCGCAAGTCACACTATTTGAATGAGGTGAGGTGAAATGGGGTTTAACGTCGCGTCCAAGATTATTGCACTTATATAGCAACGTGCATGTACTTGTGTGTGTTTGTGTGGCTGCTTGTACTAGTTCGGACTGATGCCGATTTATAGTGCTAGCTCACTGAGATACCATGCCACAGTTTAACACGAATACCCCACTCAGACACAGTGTACTGACTCCGAGCCGACCAGTCCTTGTTTTAGCCCCTTAATGCCGAGCGCCAGACAGGGTAACAACAAGTACCTTCTTTTAACGTCTTTGGTATGACGCGGCCGGGGATCGAACCCCTGACCTTCCGCTCTCCGGGCGGACGCTCTACCACTAGACCACGAAGGCAGGCCTATTTGAATGAAAACGTATGTGAAAGTATGCATAAGAAATTAACTCCGATTAGTATATATGGACAGATCTTGGGGCATGTAATGAGGATACGTTTCGTTACCAGACTGGCATTTGGCTGGAAACAGCTACAACAACAAACGAAACGAACAAAACAGGTGAATGCTTATGTGTACCTTAAATAGCCTGACATTTCCATCCTCATAACTGATGCAACTTCAGTTGAATCTTTCATGTGAACTCCACACAACTCTTGTAACTGTTGAGTCTTTGCCAGATAAAGGAACAGTCGCAGTTGGAATATAAACTAGGGGCCACGGGTGGCCCAGTCGTCTAAGGCGCCGCGATTGCGCTTTGCAGAGTTGCGTCTCTTGGGCATTCCAGAAACCTATGATTGTGGGTGAAAATCCCGGTTCGCCCCGATTATGTTTTTAGGTTTGTCAGCACCATACCCGTGCTCGTGGGTTTCACCGAAGTGGTAAACGTCTGTGACCTGCATCACTTCGGGCTTCCTCCCACAATAAGCTGACACGCCGTGATATAACCGGAATAATGTTAAAAGCGGCGTTAAACCTAACTCAATGCACTCAGCAATATCCCAACTATATGACAGCTTGAAGAAAATTAATTCGGATTAATTTGTTTGTCTGCACACACACACACACACACACACACACACACACACACACGATATGAAAGTGCAATAATCTTGAACGCGATGTTAAACCCCAGTTCGCTTCACCTCACCTGTTTAGCTTTTGTAGATCACGCACATGCCTACAGACCCTAACATTTGAAGCGGAGTAAAATGACGCTTGATGTGTAAGTACTTTGACAGAATAAATTCATAGGGAAAAAGAACCACCGCAGACGATGCCATGTTTCATATTATACATATTTATAGAAAAGAAAAAAATACTTTTCGTTCAGTTTCACCCTGTATGCCCAGTTTGTTTGTTGTTGAACTCCGCACTCCGCAATATTCCAGCTTTAAGACGGCGGTCGCTTAATAATCAAGTCTGGACCAGACACTTCAGTTATTGACATCATGAGTATCGATATACGCAACTGGGACACGTTGACATGCATCGACCAAGTCACCGAGCCTGACCACCTGATCCCGTTAGTCGCCTCTTACGACAAGCATAGTCGCTTTTTACGGCAAGCATGGGTTGCAGATGACCCATTCTACCCCGGAATCTTCACGGGTCTCATTAGGGAGGAAAGCGTGAAGTGATGCTGGTCTTGATGTGAAAGCCACTAGCACGGGTATGGAGAGACAAGCTAAGAATTATAAGCAGGTGAATCTGGGATTCGAAACCACGATCAAATGAGGCTGGCACACCCAAGGGACGCAACTCGGCCACCCTCGGACGACGGAGCCATCCATGCCGATATGTTTATTCAGGGCACGATAATTTTGATATTTGTGGAAACCACATCACTTGCTTATCACATGAACTCAAATGATAGCGTGCATGCATTGTGAAGTTTTTCTGTCAAGAAAATTTCTGCTTTATGTATTGTGTACATGTATAAATTGTTTTGCAGGGTAGGTGAAAATAACAGTTAAGTGTAGTAATGCCGCATTTACTATGTCAGTTACCACTAGACAAGTACAAAGTCTAAACCTTTTTCAAATCACGGCGTGGTTGTAGATCACTAACGTAAACAAATGTCATATCAGGTTTGAGGCGATGTATATTTCACGCAGGTGTTCGCCAGCAGTGTCACGTGATGCCTCATTGTGATTTCAACCAATCAAAGGTCACTTTAGTTGCACAAGTTTCTCGTGCGCGTTAATTCCAGTGTGGATAGAAGCAGACGTAGCACACACTCAACAACTTCATCGGTGCATGTCGATCTAAGTCAAACAAGATGGTAAAAATTCATTAAAACCGACATGAAATGGGTTGTATAATGAAATAATTATTGCATTTTCTCCAATATTGGCGCTATGGTGTTTTTTGACTTATGAAGACTGTCCACCAAGAAACGTTTTCAACGTGAGTTCTCGTGCTGCTGTGATTTTCCGAGGGAACGTTGAAAAGAAGGTAAGTGCATAATATGTTATTAAACAACCTGTCTTTGACCATATAATGTAAACCATATTAATAATATCAATATTCATAATGCGCCAAATCCACACTGAAAGCGCTACATTATGGCCCTTGCAACTTTTGTTTGATTGTTGTTCTTGGCCACTCAGCATTATTCCAAATATATGACGGCGGTCAATAAAAAATCGAGTATGGATAAGCCAATCCAGTGATCACAATCGTGTACATCGATGGACACAATGACATGCATCAACCAAGTCACCGATTCTGACCACCCAATGCCGTAAGTCGCCTCTTACGACAAGCATGGGTTGCTGAAGACCAATTCTAACCCGGATATTCACGGGTGTCCCCGGTCAGTGGATCAGTGTGCACTCGATATTCATTCTCAGCTTCCAGGGAAGTATACAACCCACAACCCAATCTGCCCTTGAGGCCGTCATATAGCTGGATTATTGCTGAGTGCGGCGTTAAACAACAAACAAACAAATCTTATTAAACCTGTAAAGGACTGTGTTTTTCCAACACAGTTTATTCAGTTAAATACTGACTATACCAAAGCCGGCATATCCTGCATATTATTTGTATCCAGCTACATGTCTTTACTTGATTAACATAAATCAAGACTTGACCAGGCAAACCAGTTTTTGATACTGTAAGCAACGTTTTACATCGTCGGGGTACGGGGCACGCAATCCCCCTATTCACCGAATCTGGCCATTCTATCCAAAAAGGCAAGCAAAGGCTACCTGGGATTCTCAACAGGGTTTGAATATTAAACTGGTCTTACTATGTTGTTTGTATGTATTTAGAAATACTTCTATACATGTACAGTCCGTTTGACTCCAAATGAGAACGATGAATTGCAAAATAACTCGAAATCCAGAAAAGTGTATGAAACATCAAAACGGTACTTGACCATGAATACCCTGTACCCAACGAAATCTGAATTTTGTTTATTTTAAGACCCATGACGGATGAAGTTCTTTAAGAAACTATCATGTAATTTTGTATAGAAATGTGTGCATGACACGTAGGGGGACAAACCGTGGAAGGAACAGCGCAAGCACGATCTGCACGTGCTACACAGTGACCGTGTTCATTCAATGACAAGATGCGCTACTCAGCAGATGTTAAACAGTTGATGTTGAATGTGTATGATTTCTTTAGAAGTGAAGCAGAAAGAGCAAAGCCTTTTTATGCAATTAATAAATTCTTGAAACGAGCTTCAAAAGCTCTTGGTATGTCCCCTCAGAAACTGAAAAATGTTGTTAGTCGACGAGATACAAATAGTCAGGC